GACAGCGTTCCCAGAAAGGCTCCATGTGCTGGCGTCCTATTGGATGCTCTCTAAAAGAATGATGTCATCCTTTAGCTGCACGTGGTAGCGCACGGAGCGGGGAAATGTGCTTCAGTTATTCCTCTCTTCATAACAGTGGTGCAGGGAGAGAAGACTTTCCCGTCTGCCCGCTGAGCGACACTGACACATTTACTCCACAGCGGGCTAAAGTAGAGGACCATCCCAAAGTTTCATATCGCTATCCCTCACCGCTGGCTGCACTGACACCGTGCATTCTGCATCTCTCCATAAGGAGCAGTGGTTGTATAGGTTTGGGTTTCTTTGTTACAGAGAAAGGGTTTGGTGCTCTTCTTTTCAGTAGTACACATTTCACAGATCTCGCTTTGGTACTGCGGCCTCTGGCCCAGGTATAATTCAGTGTGTTTTACAGTGCAACTGGGATAATACTCTTGTGCTGCAAATCAAAGCCATCTACTGTATTTCAAATCCTATTTCACAACCAGGCACATGATTGGAGCGTTTGCGAAAGGAAATACATTAGCATATTTCCCATGCAGACGCGTGCTGTGTGCTGCTGCCCTCTGTTCTGGGATCAGATAACGTGCTGTGTGCTGCTGCCCTCTGTTCTGGGATCAGATAACGTGCTGTGTGCTGCTGCCCTCTGTTCTGGGATCAGATAACGTGCTGTGATTTATGCTTTTTTCTTTTGTTATTTAGCCATTTATTTAAAGGAGTGGAGGTGACTGAATACACAAAGCTTTATGTTGCTGCCTGATCAATAAAGATGCTCCCTCTTCTTTCTAGTCTCCGCTCCCTCTAGTCAGCCAATCGGTCTAATGCAGTTTCCCCCTGGCGCTCGCTCTCTCCTCCCTTCCTCCATCTATCCCTCCTCCCATCCCTCTCCCTGTACAGGTGATGTCATTCTTTTTCAGCCGGGCACCCCTCCCTCCCTCCCTCCCTCTGCCTATTAGCCGTTGGCTCTTTGCGGTGAACCGTCAAATCGATGGAAGGTTCTCCAGGGGGAGCAGTGCGCTAGCCTGGGTCTGTGCATTCTGAGCTGTGGAACGGGGGCAGGCAGTCTGGCCCCTCTGGAGATGAACACACAAACCTGCTGCCGGAGCGCTATAGACAGAGAGAGCTAGAGAGGGAGGAAGAGAGCTGCAGTGAACCAGGCTGTGTGAGGAGGAAAACAGACAGAGACGAGTGCATGCTGACTGACGAAGTCCTGCTGGTGGTCTCTCTCTGGGACTAGTGACTATTGACAGCACTGCTGGCTCAGCCCTGGAGAATAGGCTGTCTGTCAGCCATAGTTACAAACAGGTTAAAAAGAAGAAAATAGAACTGCCAGGGACTTTAAACTCAGAGTGGAACAATATCTCAGAGGACTTTTCCTCAACACTTTGACTTCTCTTTAAGGATCCTACTATCTACAGTCTACAGCACAACTGAACTTGAGCAAGTTTGCAGGATCACTGATCATTGAGGCTGTGGCCATGCAACCTGCCATGTCTTTGGGATTTACTGCGTTCAGCACTCTGGAGATGTCAAATGGATAATTGTTTCTGCAATGAGTCAGGGTCTTCCTCCAGCTTTTAAATACATGTCTTAATTTGAATGTAGAGGATCATAAGGGATCCCCTAAATGCCTCTCTCGCCATTGGCATTGGCTTCCCTCTTGATTGACATGTGACAGTCACTGCCAGAACCTGAAACGACAATAACAAACTGACAACTAACGCCTGAGGACATTTGGACAACGTTGAGGATTTGATCTCTTCTTTCAGGCCGATTTCCTTTCATCCCTTCGGAAGAAGCTTTCCTTTCTTCTTTTCCTTTTTTGTCTTTTGGTGTTGAAAGGGGAAACTTTCCCTCCCTGCTCTCGCCCTGGAAATGGCTTTCCTTGTCCGTTGCTATGCCAACTGCTTGCAGCCGTGGTCCTCCAAAGTAAGCGATGTCGTAATCCCTTCTGTGGCCAGCGCACTCTGCTGGGTTAGGAAGCTGTGTGTGTGTGATGCCCTGCGTTTAGGTGAACTGTACAGCCCTCTTTCAACCACATTTTGATCATTTATTCATGCATGCTTTTCTGTAAATTCAAATGCATAATTTAGACTATGGGAGTATATTTATTAATTGGACATTCATATTTCACAATGCATTCTGCAATATTTTTACCGAGTGACAGGTTTGTGTGGTAGAGCCCATGTCCTAGTTTTGAATGGTATGAATGATGAAATAACTCTCTACACTATGCATGAAGAGGTTGTTTCTTGAATGCACAGCATGAAGGTGAATGTAAATGAGTGTCTACGGCTCTGTCACTGTGCTGGTTGGGTTGTGCTGGACTGGTTGGTTCTCCCCTTACTTGACTGTCTGATTGACAACATTTTGCCCACCTGAGATGCAGGACCAGTGGCTGTCTGTCTCTCCTGTGCTAAGGGGTCCATCCATCTAGCCTGAGGGCCAGGTAGGCCCCCAAACACAGGCACTCAGGCGTCCTGACAGACTGCCTGTAAAATCACTGTGTCGCCATGGGACCAGACGTCTTGGTGTTGAGAGCGTCCAAGATGTTTGTCTTCATTATGAGAAGTGAGCTGTGTTAATGAGGAGTGTGAAGATGGTTGACACGTTAACGGCAATCTCTGTGTCACTCCAGGTCTGCTATCCAAATTACACCATTTTCCATTGAGCTACTTTTGTTATGGGTTCTCTACATTTAGTGTTGAATGGATTTGTGATCTACACATAAGCTTTTAGGCTCTGTTGTTCTACAGAATTATCCTAAGGTTGACTAAATGTTTGCATTGATTGAAATGAATAAATGGCTGTATAGCCAAAACTACAAGCTAATGCTCAGAAATCAATGTCTGTATAATTTATGGAAAGGGTAGATCATCTTTTAGGCCTTAACGTTTAATTTCGGTCTACGCACCACCAGTTCTGAGCGCAGTGATGTCAAAAACATTTGATCTTAGGCGCACACCTTTTGCGATAACGTGTGTGTGTATTGGAGGTGTTGGGAAAATGCAGAAGACAAGTTTCCATCTCGTATGGACTATTCAAGTATCTTATCCATCGCTTTTTTTGATAAACGAGATTGGAATGGCTGCATTGCACTGCTAACTAAGACCTGTCTATGATAGAAGAGAAGAGATCCCACATCCCATCATCATTGCACAATACATTTTCATCCATAGTTGAGTCTTGTGTTGTCCTGTGTATCATCCATCTGTTTGAGATGAGATGAGAAACAGCCTGTTAGAAGACGTGGCTAATGAGAGTTGATGTGTGCCGCCCGTCGTTGATGAGATGAGCAGACCTGAGGAGAAAGGTTAATGAAGTTTCCCTTTAAGCCCATCAGCTCAAGCACAAGACTGACTGAAGCCACAGTGTGGACAAAAATAGCATGAATATCATCATAATTTGTGTTGTGCCGAGCTAAAGAGGAATCTGATTCATTCATGTCTACCTTTTTGAAGAGCGAGTTTCTGACGTTCGCTTATTGTTGGCCGTCTGGGATATTTACTCCCATCTCTTTTGATGTACAGTTATGTGGTTGGGAAATGGATTTGTTATGCCATTTAATTTTCCCTCTGAACAAGATGGTCACTGCCAGTATTAATCTACTGGAGTCCTTCTCATCTGTGGCAGAGCTGGACAAACTCTTTTCACTTATTAGACTACTATGTGAATGCTATTGTGAAATAATTAGCTACTTCCAAACTGGAGCATGCAAAAACAGTACTATTGGCTGCTAAACAGCTCATGAGTTGGTATTCAATATTGACATAGCAAATCATGCCTTAATGGATAGTGAAACACATCGGAATAACATTAACAAGTGAGCGACGCAATTAGCAATTGACACCGATTCACAATGGATGGCTTCAGATGACAGGAGCCTATATCTGGGCCACTACTTTCCCTGGCCTGAACCCTGTGAACCTCCCTTGAGCCTGTCTCCTTCCCCCTGTGTCACTGTGACTTCCTGGCTCTGACTGGCTGAGGCTCTAGTTTGCTTTGATTGGTCCGAGAGAGACCAGAGCCTATGGTCTTCAATCATACAGTTCAGGCCAGGGCCACAGTAATGGGGACTGCTGCTGCTGTGTGGTGCTGCTCCACTGCATCTTTACGCCTCCACCTGTTTGCTATTGGCCATCCCATCCGGATATCTCCTGTAACTTGTGCTGCGTCCGAAATGGCACCCAGTTCCCTATGGGCCCTGATCAAAAGTATTGCACTATATAGGGAATAGGGTGTCATTTGGGACACACCCTTGGCGCGTCTGTGAATGTGAACTTCCAGAGAGGGTTATTAATGGAGCCTGGAGCGCATTAGCATTTAGCATCCATCCATTGTCCCCTGTTGACTGCTCTGCTCTTGGATCAGGACAGGTGTCGGCGGATTGATAAGGCTTGTTTCCTTGTTCTGTTCTGCTGCGTTGCGTTTACTACCTCCTTGGCCACTGAATGTTTTCCTTCCCTCAGGGGAGAGTGTTTCCCTGCTCAAGTGCAGAGTGCTTAGTATTGCTACCTCAGCAATCAATGGGCTTGATGCCCCTTTGAATAGTAATGGTAGCGGAGGGGAGAAATAGCTGCAGTGAAATGGATCCAGAGCAGTCAGGCAGGGAGGGTGTCCAATCGACAGACTCTCTTGGTGGGGTAACTGTCTCTCAGCCCAACCTAGTCTCAGAGCATTTCGTATTATTCTGTATGTAAATCTGGGATACTCCACTTAGTATGATATGTTACGTTTAGTTTGGTATGTATTATTTTGTAGATGTCCATCACCCATTTTGTATGATATGTTACAAATTACAATTCATATTATAAGTTACGAATTTGCAAAAATTTACAATATGTTCGGAAATTGTGAAAACGTATAATATGTTCGGAATTTGCAAAAAGTGATGATATGTTACGAATTTTAGCTAGGTGGCTAACGTTAGCTAGCTGGCTAAAGTTAGCTAGGCTAGGGGTTAGGGTTAAGTTTAGTTAGGTTAAATGGTTAAGGTTAGGGGAAGGGTTATCTAAAAGGGCTAAGGTTAGGGAAGGGTTAGCTAACATGCTAAGGAGTTGCTAAGGAGTAGCAAAGTGGCAAGTAGTTGCGAAGTTGCTAAAATACTAAAGTTATCCGTGATGAGATTCGAAATTGTAACCTTTGGGTCGCTAAACTACTAGTCAGCAAATTGGATGTAGTCTATCACAGTGCCATCCGTTTTGTCTCCAAAGCCCCATACACTACCCACCACTGTGACCTGTACGCTCTTGTTGGCTGGTCCTCACTACATGTTCGTCGTCAAACCCACTGGCTCCAGGCCATCTATAAATCACTGCTAGGCAAATCCCCGCCTTATCTTAGCTCATTGGTCACCATAGCAGCACCCACCCGTAGTCTGCGCTCCAGCAGGTATATCTCACTGGTCATCCCCAAAGCCAACACCTCCTTTGGCTGCCATTCCTTCCAGTTCTCTGCTGCCAATGACTGGAACGAATTGCAAAAATCTCTGAAGCTGGAGACTCTTATCTCCCTCACTAACTTTAAGCATCAGTTGTCAGAGCACCTTACCGATCACAGCCCATCTGAAATTAGCCCACCCAACTACCTCATCCCTATATTGTTATTTATTTTGCTCTTTTGCACCCCAGTATCTCTATTTGCACATAATCTCTTGCACATCTAGCATTCCAGTGTTAATACTAATTGTAATTATTTTGCACTATAGCCTATTTATTGCCTTACCTCCATAACTTGCTACATTTGCACACACTGTATATATATTTTCTGTTGTATTTTTTGACTTTATGTTTTTTTACCCCATATGTAACTCTGTGTTGTTGGTTTTTATCGCACTGCTTTGCTTTATCTTGGCCAGGTCGCAGTTGTAAATGAGAACTTGTTCTCAACTGGCTTACCTGGTTAAATAAAGGTGAAATAAAATAAATACATAAAATAAAATAAACATTTGCACTATATGCCCAACCATCCTACTTTCGTTTTTGCCTTAAGTAACAATCTGTTTTATGTAACCAAACATAACATATCATACTAATTTGAGTGGTCCGGATTTACATTTACTATGTTACGTCTAAGCTATGAGACCAGGCTGCCCAGCCTATGGCACTCGCTGGATATGGACCTTCTCATCCAAGCATATTATATTATTAGGACGGATTAAGTCAGATGTGAAGCATTAGATCATATCCAAAGTATTATTTAAGCGTATACTCGGTAGGATTAGATGAGGGGGAAAGTATTGGAAATCAAAATGTGAAAAATCAATATATATCTTTGCCGCTATGATGTATTGGCCTTGGAAGATTGTTAAATACTTGTTTGGTACAATTAATCATTTTAGATAGGCCTAGATAACATGGCAGTTCATTGTGAAGCTGCAATGTGCAAAAGATAGGCCTAATTCACAAATACTTGATTACATTGCTTGACCCTTGTACTTACTTGTCTGTAGAGTAATACGCATTGAACTTGTACTTGCCATTCCAATAGCCTACAGACAGACCTAGTCATTAGCCTATAGGCCTAGTCAAAGACAATGAAAACCCAGTTTGGATGAGTTGATTTCATGTCCGTCTTTAGTACTAACTCAGAATGAGAGCTTTTCTGCACCTTTGTGCTTCAGTCTAAATGGTACCTTGGACCTCTGTGATCAACACCACTGACCTGGCTTTGCTTTGTTGTGTAATGCTATAGACGGGTTAGCTGACATGTCACGAAAACAATGTGCACGCTTCAATGGGGCAGAAGTCAGTGTGTTGTTGTGATTCTGGATGGCCAGATAGGTAACGACAATGACAAGAAGCTGCCATGTGGGGACTTGTAGATTGCTCGTTTCAGCTAGTTTTATCTTGTTCTTTGTACCATGTCTTGTTTTGAGGTGTTTTGACTGATGTCACGTCTATGCTAATATGGCTCAAATTTGCTAGCTAGCTAACCAACAACTGTAACAAAGTGCTCATTGTGCAAATGTATTTATGTTTCCAATAAACATTTGGAGCCTATATATAGTTTACATGCTTAGCGTACCCTGTCTGTTTTGCCCCATAGTTGCGCACGAGTAGGATTTGTTTCTAAACAACCAACTCTGTCTATGCTACCTACCGCACTCCCTCCCTACCTCCCATCATACTGCACACTGCCCTATCCCATCTGGACAAGAGGAATACCTATGTAAGAATGCTGTTCATTGACTATAGCTCAGCATTCAACACCATCGTACCCTCCAAGCTCATCATTAAGCTCGAGGCCCTGGGTCTGAACCCCGCCCTGTGCAACTGGGTCCTGGACTTCCTGACGGGCCGCCCCCAGGTGGTGAAGATAGGAAACAACATCTCCACTTCGCTGATCCTCAACACTGGGGCCCCACAAGGGTGCGCACTCAGCCCCCTCCTGTACTCCCTGTTCACCCACACCTCCAACTCAATCATCAAGTTTGCAGACGACACAACAGTCGTAGGCTTGATTACCAACAATGACGAGACCGCTTACAGGGAGGAGGTGAGGGCTCTGGGAGTGTGGTGCCAGGAAAATAACCTCTCACTCAACATTAACAAAACAAAGGAGATGATTGTGGACTTCAGGAAACAGCAGTGGAGAAGGTGGAAAGCTTCAAGTTCCTTGGCGTACACATCACCGACAAACTGAAATGGTCCACCCACGCAGACAGTGTGGTGAAGAAGGCGCAACAGAGCCTCTTCAACCTCAGGAGGCTGAAGAAATTCGTCTTAGCACATAAAACCCTCACAAACTTTTACAGATGCACAATTGAGAGCATCCTGTCGGGCTGTATCACCGCCTGGTACGGCAACTGCACCGTCCACAACCGCAGGGTGGTGCGGTCTGCCGAACGCATTACCGGGGGGAAACTACCCGCCCTCCAAGACACATACAGCACCCGATGTCACAGGAAGGCCAAAAAGATCATCAAGGACATCAACCACCCGAGCCACTGCCTGTTCACCCCGCTATCATCCAGAAGGCGAGTTCAGTACAGGTGCGTCAAAGTTGGGACTGAGAGAATGAAAAACAGCTTCTATCTCAAGGCCATCAGACTGTTAAATAGTCATCACTAGCACATTCGAGGCTGCTGCTGCCTATTGAAATCACTGGCCACTTTAAGAAATGGAACACTAGTCACTTTAATAATGTTTACATATCTTGCACTACTCATCTCATATGTATATACTGCATTCTATTCTATAATATTCTACTGTATCTTAGTCCATGACGCTCTGTCATTGCTTGTCCATATATATGTATATTCTTAAATCCCATTCCTTACTAGTTTTGTGTGTATTGGGTATTTTACATTTACATTTTAGTCATTTATCAGACGCTCTTATCCAGAACGACTTAGTTAGTGAGTGCATACATTTTTTTCATACTTTCTTTCCTTGTCTGCCAATCTTAATAACAAGAACTTTAGATTAATCAGATTGTTCAGTTTTTTGGACTACTACATTATTACACAACCCCTAAAAGGGGAATTACATTTTCAAAAATGTTGTTTGTCAGATGTTTTCATACCTCAAAAGTAGTCTTATGGGAAAAGTTAACCCAAATTACAAAATTCCATTGGTACATTGGTTTCCTTACCCTGTAAGCAGACGACAGACAAGGTAAGACAGCAATCCATTCCTTGGTCCTGTTTAGCATTTATAGCACAAAACCTATATGTTGTGAAATTGTTAGATATTACTTGTTAGATATTACTGCACTGTCGGAGCTAGAAGCACAAGCATTTTGCTACACCCGCTATAACATCTGCTAAACACGTGTATGTGACAAATAATTTGATTTGATTTGACCTACCAAACGCTCAGGGTTGGCCTCGTACACAGAGTGTACAAAACATTATGGACACCTTCTTAATATTGAGTTGCATTGCCTTTTGCCCTCAGAACAGCCTCAATTTGTCGGGGCATAGACTCTACAAGGTGTTGAAAGCGTTCCACAGAAATGCTGGCCCATGTTGACTCCAATGTTTCCCACAGTTGTCTCAAGTTGGCTGGATATCCTTTGGGTGGTGGACCATTCTTGACACACACGGGAAACTGTTGAGCGTGAATAACCCAACAGCGTTGCAGTTGCACATACACAATCCATGGCTCAATTGTCTCAAGGCTTAAAAAATATTATTTAACCCATCTCCCCTTCATCTACACTGATTGAAGTGGTTTTAACATGTTACATCAATAAGGGATCATAGCTTTCACCTGGTCAGTCTGTCATGGAAAGCTGTTCCTAATGTTTTGTACACTGTGTATATTTTCTCTCAACCCAGGCAGACAGATGTCTGTTCATAAAGAACTCAAGGTAAAGGGTCTTTACAGACCCACAACAAACACAGCAGAGAGACATAGGGTGTGTCAAAAATAACACCCTGTTCCCTATATAGTGCACTACTTTTGTAGCCTTGCAAAGCCACCTGATCCCGCGAGCTTACATGAATGTTGCTGATATCTGTGGAGCAACATTCATGTAAACTCGTGGGATCAGGCAGCTTTGCGAGGCTACTACCTTTGACCAAAGTGCGTTTAATAGGGAATAGGGTGCCATTTGGAACATATCCATAGAAAGTTGTTGTTGTGTATGGTAATTTACGAGAGATGGGCTGGGGGCCTAATACATGGTCGTCACTAGTTACCACAGCCACAAAGTAATAATTATGGCTAAACCCTTCCTATTTCTTCAATGTCTTCTTAAAATCACATTTTAAACCTAACCTTATGCCTAACCCTAATCTTGAATTAAGACCGAAATGCAAATATTTGTTTTCATTAATATTTTACACTATTGCCAATTTTGAATTTTGGGCTGTGGAGCTATTGAACACCCTAATGCATGGCATATTGATCCTTATCGCCTTCCTGTCCAGATGACACCCTAGACCTCCCTGGACACTAAAAGCTCTCTACCAGCCCAGACCAGAGCTGCTCTCTACCAGCCCAGACCAGACCAGAGCTACTCTCTACCAGCCCAGACCAGACCAGACCAGACCAGAGCTACTCTCTATCTGCTGTTGTCAGGAGAATATTAAGATGTTACAAGCTACCCTGAATTGTGCATTGTATTATTTTGATGCATTGTAATACATTGTATTATTCTAATAATGAATCTCGTTCATCCATTCATCCACGTCACTAATTAGATGTCGAGGCATTTGGCTACCTTAAATGACAAGTTAACTTGTTTTGAACCAAATCATTTTTTTAAATACTCAAGCAATACTTTTTCCTTGTGCGAGCATGCGCGTGCTTTCTCGTTCCAATTGTGGTGATACAAGAAAGTAGAAACCGCGCATGCTCGGACATGGAAATGAATCGCTTGAGTCCAACAAAAGTGACTATAACGTTGCAGATAACGTTTGGAATGACACAATTTAATGTGTACAACATCTAAAGACCTGCATCACTATACTGAGAGCTTTGCCGTTTCTAAAACGACATATGTTGGTGTTTTTGGAGCCTTTGTTCATGTTTATCTGTGGTCCCCATACTGCAGAACGAGCGATGAGGAAGTCTAATGCTGGTGGGGGTAATCTTTTTCAAAATCAAGTGAAATGACACAAAAAAAGTGTCTGGACACGTCTATAACATTGAGATTAGTTTTTTTTAAAAAGCTTGTCCTTTTTAGAGAGTTATCGTTGTGCTGTTGCAGAAACCGTGTGCATATGTCTATTGATGCTGGATGTTGAACCATGCATGAACGCATCCTCCCTACCCTTGTGTCACCATTACGATGCATAAGATCTTGATAATGCACTACTCTGCAATATTGAAGCGATATAACATTTGAAAGCATTATACTTACAGCTCTGCTTTTATGTATTCTTTTTTACAAGTGAAAGAGATTTGGTATCATGATGAAAAACATGATCTAGCTCTCTGGCCTGTGTAATTGCTGTCCATTAAATGTGATGATGAGCGTTGTTGAGTACTCTGATCTAGGGCTGCGTCCCAAATGGCACCCTATTCCCTATATAGTGCACTACTTTTGACCAGACCCCTATGGGCCCTGGTCAAATGTAGTGCACTCAATTGGGAATAGGGTGCTATTTTGGATGCATCCCTCTTCATTGGTATGCCCACTGTGCTGCTAGTACTGCTGCTGCCATTACAGGACCAAATGGCCTGAGACTACTGAGCCAACTCATAGTGGAGCCCCAAAGACATGCTAACTGCAGATGATCCCATTACTAACCGTCCACCTGTCATACACACACACAGAGCCCCCTCCACAGTCCCACAGCTCTGTCAATGATGTGCCCCCTCCCCACCAGACCCAGGCACTGATGATATTTCAGCCAGGGCTGCTTCACCCATTCCAGCTGTTTCCATTATCTTAGTGCTATTGATTTTTCCACCACTGGGTAGGCCTATACATAGCAGGCCCTTCTCTCTCTGGATCATTTTCAAGGGCATTTATAAATACAAAATGCGATCGCTGTGTGCCTGTCCTTCCAGGCAGATTGAGTTTAGGCCTGTCTTTGTCTGTCTGCTTGCTCCTACAGGGGTTCACATACAGTACTAATTGACTGTATGAGCCTGTACACCCAACCGCCGCTTACAGCCTGCTGTCAGTTAAACCAATAACACCCAGCTAAACCCCTGGAAGTAAAGTAGGATTTCTTCCCTCTGAGGAAGGATGTTTGTGAACTGTGTGTGGACTGTAAGGCTATCCACACTATCCACACTGTTAGTTAGGACTCCACACTAAGCTGTCAGACAGGACACCCTCCGCTGCAACGTTTTCCACCATCTGGAGGGCCGAGAGGACTGTGCCAACTGTGGAGAACAGGGTCCAGATCCCGCAACAACACACGAGAACAGAGGGGTGTGGCTGACTGACTGCAGGCCCTGCAGGCTGGACCCCCTGTTTTAGTCCGGTGGTCCGTTATTGTGGTTGTGCCTGGCAGGGGGTGGAGGAGGGTAGGAGGGCAGGAAGCATCTGGGAGGAGAGGGGGTTAGGAGGGGGCTCTGGAGAGTCCCCTCGCTGGGTTTGGCGGGTGGCCGGACGGATTGGGCGGTGTTAAAACCAGTGTTTAGCCTCCTCTGTGTCCTTCAGACGGGTAGCACTGGCCATGGCCCTGTTTCCTGAGAGGCCCAGACGGAGCCAACTCCCCTCCCTCACACCTTCCTGTTTCTCTCACACATACACAGCACACCACAGGGAGGCAGTCTGGGGCCCATGCTCTATCGCTCTTGTTCTCTCTTTCTCTCTCTCTATCAATCAATTCAATTCAATTTAAGGGCTTTATTGGCATGGGAAACGTATGTTAACATTGCCAAAGCAAGTGAAGTAGATAGTAAACAAATGTGAAATAAACAATGAAAAACTAACAGTAAACATTACACTCAGAAGTTGCAAAAGAATAAAGACATTTCAAATGTTATATTATGTACAGTTGAAGCCGGAAGTTTACATACACTTAGGTTGGAGTCATTAAAACTAGTTTTTCAATCACTCATTTCTTGTTAACTATAGTTTTGGCATGACACAAGTAATTTTTCCAACAATTGTTTACAGACAGATTATTTCACTTATAATTCACTGTATCACAATTCCAGTGGGTCAGAAATGAACATACACTAAGTTGACTGTGCCTTTAAACAGCTTGGAAAATTACAGAAAATGATGTCATGGATTTAGAAGCTTCTGATAGGCTAATTGACATAATTTGAGTCAATTGGAGGTGTACCTTTGGATGTATTTCAAGGCCTACCTTCAAACTCAGTGCCTCTTTCATCCTTGGGCGCAATTTCCAAACGCCTGAAGGTACCACGTTCATCTGTACAAACAATAGTATGCAAGTATAAACACCACGGGACCACGCAGCCATCATACCGCTCAGGAAGGAGACGCGTTCTGTCTCCTAGAGATGAACGTACTTTGGTGCGAAAAGTGCAAACCAATCCCAGAACAACAGCAAAGGACCTTGTGAAGATGCTGGAGGAAACCGGTACAAAAGTATCTATATCCACAGTAAAACAAGTCCTATATTGACATACAGTGGGGAAAAAAAGTATTTAGTCAGCCACCAATTGTGCAAGTTCTCCCACTTAAAAAGATGAGAGAGGCCTGTAATTTTCATCATAGGTACACGTCAACTATGACAGACAAAATGAGAAAAAAAAATCCAGAAAATCACATTGTAGGATTTTTAATGAATTTATTTGCAAATTATGGTGGAAAATAAGTATTTGGTCACCTACAAACAAGCAAGATTTCTGGCTCTCACAGACCTGTAACTTCTTCTTTAAGAGGCTCCTCTGTCCTCCACTTGTTACCTGTATTAATGGCACCTGTTTGAACTTGTTATCAGTATAAAAGACACCTGTTCACAACCTCAAACAGTCACACTCCAAACTCCACTATGGCGAAGACCAAAGAGCTGTCAAAGGACACCAGAAACAAAATTGTAGACCTGCACCAGGCTGGGAAGACTGAATCTGCAATAGGTAAGCAGCTTGGTTTGAAGAAATCAACTGTGGGAGCAATTATTAGGAAATGGAAGACATACAAGACCACTGATAATCTCCCTCGATCTGGAGCTCCACGCAAGATCTCACCCCGTGGGGTCAAAATGATCACAAGAACGGTGAGCAAAAATCCCAGAACCACACGGGGGGACCTAGTGAATGACCTGCAGAGAGCTGGGACCAAAGTAACAAAGCCTACCATCAGTAACACACTACGCCGCCAGGGCCTCAAATCCTGCAGTGCAAGACGTGTCCCCCTGCTTAAGCCAGTACATGTCCAGGCCCGTCTGAAGTTTGCTAGAGTGCATTTGGATGATCCAGAAGAGGATTGGGAGAATGTCATATGAAACCAAAATAGAACTTTTTGGTAAAAACTCAACTCGTCGTGTTTGGAGGACAAAGAATGCTGAGTTGCATCCAAAGAACACCATACCTACTGTGAAGCATGGGGGTGGAAACATCATGCTTTGGGGCTGTTTTTCTGCAAAGGGACCAGGACGACTGATCCGTGTAAAGGAAAGAATGAATGGGGCCATGTATCGTGAGATTTTGAGTGAAAACCTCCTTCCGTCAGCAAGGGCATTGAAGATTAAACGTGGCTGGGTCTTTCAGCATGACAATGATCCCAAACACACCGCCCGGGCAACGAAGGAGTGGCTTCGTACGAAGCATTTCAAGGTCCTGGATTGGCCTAGCCAGTCTCCAGATCTCAACCCCATAGAAAATATTTGGAGGGAGTTGAAAGTCTGTGTTGCCCAGCGACAGCCCCAAAACAGCACTGCTCTAGAGGAGATCTGCATGGAGGAATGGGCCAAAACAGTGTGTGACAACCTTCTGAAGACTTACAGAAAACATTTGACCTGTGTCATTGCCAACAAAGGGTATATAACAAACTATTGAGAAACTTTTGTTATTGACCAAATACTTATTTTTCACCATAATTTGCAAATAAATTCATAAAAAATCCTACAATGTGATTTTCTGGATTTTTTTTCCTCATTTTGTCTGTCATAGTTGACTTGTACCTATGATGAAAATTACAGGGCTCTCTCATCTTTTTAAGTGGGAGAACTTGCACAATTGGTGGCTGACTAAATACTTTTTTTCCCCACTGTAACCTGAAAGGCCGCTCAGCAAGGAAGAAGCCACTGCTCCAAAACCACCATAAAAAAGCCAGACTATGGTTTGCAACTGCGCATGGGGACAAAGATCGTACTTGTTGGAGAAATGTCCTCTGGTCTGATGAAACAAAAATAGAACTGTTTGGCCATAATGACCATCGTTATGTTTGGTGGAAAAAGGGGGTCGCTTGCAATCCCAAGAACACCATCCCAACCGTGAAGCACGGGGGTGGCAGCATCATACTGTGGCGGTGCTTTGCTGCAGGAGGAAATGGTGCACTTCACAAAATAGATGACATCATGAGGAAGGAAAATTATGTGGATATATTGAAGCAACATCTCAAGACATCAGTCGGGAAGTTAAAGCTTGGTCGCAAATGGGTCTTCCAAATGGACAATGACCCCAAGCATACTTCCAAAGTTGTGGCAAAATGGCTTAAGGACAACAAAGTCAAGGTGTTGGAGTGGCAATCACAAAGCCCTGACCTCAATCCTATAAAACATTTGTGGGCAGAACTGAAAAAGCGTGTGCGAGCAAGGAGGCCTACAAACCTGACTTAGTTACACCAGCTCTGTCAGGAGGAATGGGCCAAAATTCACCCAACTTATTGTGGGAAGCTTGTGGAAGGCTACCCGAAACGTTTGACCCAAGTTAAACAATTTAAAGGCAATGCTACCAAATACTAATTGAGTGTATGTAAACTTCTGACCCACTGGGAATTTGATGAAATAATTAAAAGCTGAAATAAATAATTCTCTCTACTATTATTCAGACATTTCACATTCTTAAAATAAAGTGGTGATCCTAACTGACCTAAACCAGGGAATTTTTTACTAGGATTAAATGTCAGGAATTGTGAAAAACGGAGTATAAATGTATTTGGCTAAGGTGTATCTAAACTTCCGACTTCAACTGTATATATACAGTGTTGTAACAATGTGCAAATAGTTAAAGTACAAATGAGAAAATACATTTTGTGGGCAGTGTGCACATAGCCTGTCTTCTCTTGAGAGCCAGGTCTGCCTACGGCAGCCTTTCTCAATAGCAAGGCTATGCTCACTGAGTCTGTACATAGTCAAAGCTTTGCATAGGTTTGGGTCAGTCACAGTGGTCAGGTATTCTGCCACTGTGTACTCTCTGTTTAGGGCCAAATATCATTCTAGTTTGCGCAGTTTTTTTTGTTAATTCTTTCCAGTGTCTGAAGTAATTATATTTTTGTTTTCTCTTGATTTGTTTGGGTCTAATTGTGTTGTTGTCCTGGGGCTCTATGGGGTCTGTTTGTGTTAGAGAACCAGCTTGCTTAAGGGACTCTTCTCCAAGTTCATCTTTCTGTAGGTGATGGCTTTGTTATTGAAGGTTTGGGAATCGCTTCCTTTTAAGTGGTTATAGAATTTAACGGCTCTTTTCTGGATTTTGATAATTAGCGTTTATCGGCCTAATTCTGCTCTGCATGCATTATTTGGTGTTTTTCGTTGTACACAGAGGATATTTTCTCAGAATTCTGCATGCAGTCTCAATTTGGTGTTTGTCCCATTTCGTGAATTTTTGTTTGGTGAGCGGACCCCAGACCAGACAACCATAAAGGGCAATGGGTTCTATAACTGATTGAAATATTTTTAGCCAGATCCTAATTGGTATGTTGAATTTTATGTTCCTTTTGATGGCATAGAAGGCCCTTCTTGCCTTGTCTCTCAGATCGTTCACAGCTTTGTGGTAGTTACCTGTGGCGTTTAGGTTTAGGCCGAGGTATGTATTGTTTTTTGTGTGCTCTAGGGCAACGGTGTCTAGATGGAATTTGTATTTGTGGTCCTGGCAACTGAACCTTTTTTGGAACACCATTATTTTTGTCTTACTGAGATGTACTGTCAGGGCCCAGGTCTGACAGAATCTGTGCAGAAGATCTAGGTGCTGCTGTAGGCCCTCCTTGGTTGGTGACAGAAGCACAAGATCATCAGCAAACAGTAGACATTTGACTTTAGATTCTAGTAGGGTGAGGCCGGGGGCTGCAGACCGTTAGTGCCCTTGCCAATTCGTTTATATATATATATATATGTATGTTGAAGAGGGTGGGGCTTAAACTGCATCATTGTCTCACCCCACGGCCCTGTGGATAGAAATGTGTGTTTTTTGCCAATTTTAACCGCACACTTGTACATGGATTTTATAATGTCCTGTGTTTTTCCCCCAACCCCACTTTCCATCAATTTGTATAGCTGACCCTCGTGCCAAATTGAGTCTAAAGCTTTTTTGAAACCAACAAAGCATGAGAAGACTTTGCATCTGTTTTGGTTTGTTTGTTTGTTAATTAGGGTGTGCATGGTGAATACGTGGTCTGTAATTTGGTAAAAAGCCAATTTGACATTTGCTCAGTACATTGTTTTCACTGAGGAAATGAACTAGTCTGCTGTTAATGATAATGCAGGATTTTCCCAAGGTTGCTATTGACGCATATCCCACGGAAGTTATTGGGGTGAAATTTGTCTCCACTTTTGTGGATTGGGGTGATCAGTCCTTGGTTCCAAATATTGTCTGTGTCATCCTCTCAATTCAATTCAATGGGCTTCATTGGCATGGGAAACACACGTTTACATTGCCAAAGCAAGTGAAATAGATAATAGACAAAAGTGAACAGTAAACATAACACTCACAAAAGTTCCAAAGGAATAGAGACATTTCAAATGTCATATTATGGCTATATACAGCGTTGTAACGATGTGCAAATAGTTAAAGTACAAAAGGGAAAATACATAAACATAAATATGGGTTGTATTTACAATGGTGTTTGTTCTTCACGGGTTGCCCTTTTCTTGTGGCAACAGGTCACACATCTTGCTGCTGTCTCTCATCCTCTCCCTCAAATAGGGTGAGGAGAGGGGAGAGAGAGAGGAGAGAGAGGAGGACAGATCATCGAGAGAGAGAGCTCGCGAAGCGATAGAAGCCATCCTCGTCGAACTAGAGCTCGTCAGTGCGGCGAACCAATCAGAAGCGGAGATCATCGTCCTTAGGGGCGAAATCCATCTCTCGATCCTCAGTTCTCTCTATCTCTCTCTCATCCGGATATCTAACTCTATATCTACGCGCCCTCCCATCCTTCTGCATCGCTCCCATCACATCCTCTTTCTATCCTCTCTCTCTACTCTCTCTCTATCCCCACTTTCCAGTGCTGTTTGAGTATGGGACACACGCCAGGAGGGAGGAGGTTTGCGATAGGTCTCTGCCACGCCACATCATGAATATTCATGTTAGAGACAGACACATCAAACCTCCCTGGCAGGGAACTGGGCCCATCTCTCTGAGACGGAGCACACCCTCACCCCCACACTGATGAATTAACCAGGAGAGTTTCATATGTAACCATTCCTGAAGAGGGATGATACATGAACACTTTGCTTTACAGTTTTGACCTCTTGTAATTTTCTCACTCTGACTAGCAGATGAGGGTAAATGAAATGAGTGATTATGCAATGCCTTTAAACCTGTACACAGACACACACACACACACACACAGACACACACAGACACACACACAACCTGGTAATCCATTGTGTTCCCAGTGTAGAGTAATTCCAGCTGGGTGGTTTAGAAGGTCCATGGCTGGATGATTAAACATGGATGGTCCTTACACTATTAGTCACTGTTGTCACGCCTTGGACAGAGACAGCGTTACCCGTAGACTGTCGCCGTGTCTGTCTGTTAGTCAGTCCTGGCTGCCACCTGACTGACTCCAGGCTCTACCTTGGGCAAAAGTCAAAGCACTTAGCTGGCGGGGCCAGAATCAGCACCAGGCTGCCACTCAACATTTTGGCTCTCACAATACTGCCAGTGCCCGCTCCAGAGTGATGCCAAGCATTCCTCCTCTGACTCTGTTCTGTTACAACACAGGACGGGGGTGATTTAGCTCCCTGGAATCTGTTAGGACCAGGAATATTTTAGTGTTACTATTTCCTTTTTTGGGGCCAGATTGACTGTCCGATGTGTGACACACGTGCTAGGCTAGACGCTGCCCAAGCAAGGAGCAGCCTCTAGAGATGAGAGTTCAATGTGATATTATGATGACCAGGCTGTGATATGAAATGTGACACTACTTTGATTGTCATGCTTAAGCTGCTGGCTCTGATTTGTGCATTGGCGTAAAAGCAAAGAGGCACAGAGAGTAACTACCCACCCCTTTGATTCAGTCATCATTATGTAGGGGGTGAGGGAGAGAGATGAATGAGAGATGTGAGGGTCTTCTCCTGACAGCCTTTCCAACTCTCCTGTCTTCTCCCTGTGTGGCACAGCCCCTGCTCTCTCTCTCGCTCCATTTCTCTCACTACCTATTCCTCTCCCTCACCCAGCCCTGCCCGCCTCGCCTGTCTTCGCACTTGTCACCTCCAATTCCAAGTTCAATTCATTACACCTCTCTCTCACCCGCAATCTCTTCTCTGCCAAATCCCTGTGTGTTCACTTCAGACGGATGGGGGAGGAGGAAAGGGGTTCTTAAAAGAGAACACTACCCCCTTCTCCCTCCCTCTCTCGCCCTCCCTCTCTCTTACTCTCTCTACTGTATCTTAATCTAGACTTCAGTTCACACTGCAGCTCTGTTGCGTTAGAGTGCAGCAGGTGTTTTGGGAGCGAGGGAAGAGGTCAGAGAGTGTGTTAGGGAGCAGAGGTCGGGATGTTCTCAGGGCAAGCTGGTTCACAGAAAGTTTAACGTGTGAGACATCAGTGTGGGTGGGTGTGTGGGTGTGTTTCTCGGAGTGTGTGTGAGTTTCTCGGAGTGCGTGTGTGTGTGTGCGCACGCATTTTCACTGTACCTCTCTAACACCATTAAGCCAACCCCTGGAGGTGACCTCCATTGACCAAAGCTGTCTGCAGCCGCAGGGCTAATTTCAGACTGTGTGTGTGCGCGCGTTTCTTGGAGTGTGTGTGCTAGGCACTGCTCACATCTGGATTGTGACCACTTATTTAGCTTTTTGCTCCATTTCGCTGTGATGCCGTGAGTGGAAGAGGCCAGTCTCTAAATAAAGATGGAATGAATTGCCTGACATCAAAGGAGAACTACAGCGTGTGCATTGTACTCTGTTTTCTCTACTTATGTTGGCTTTATAACAGTTGTGTAACATGTTGAAATACTGAAGATTGTTCTCTTTCTCAGTATGTTTGTGTGGTTTGGAATTGATATTATGACATGAACTAGGCCCCTGTAGCTCAGTTGGTAGAGCATGGCGCTTGCAACGCCAGGGTTGTGGGTTCGTTTCCCACGGGGGGCCAGTATGAAAATGTAAGTCGCTCTGGATAAGACCGTCTGCTAAATGACTAAAATGTAAAATGTAACTAATTGCATTAACAATGACATTGTTTGCCAAGTGGTTGGCACATGCTGTACTCCGGTTTTTGGGTTCATGAGTACTGCCATGCCATTGAAGTTCAAGTCATGTCCCTTTCTAACGTTATGATGGCATTATTACTCAGACAAACTGTTTAGATGTTCTAATTCAGAGAGAATGACAACTTATATAGGCTATTTATTTAAATGTCTCCTCTGGCCATCCATTTCTACAACCATCTCTTTGTTTTAGTGTGTACTTATTTCTGTCATTCAGTATAACTCAGTAGTTATTGGTCCATAATAAGCTGCTAATTAGCATCATCAAGATTTAGCTAAATGACACCTCCGCCACCCAAATAGAATGCATAATGACTCTTGTGTTACAGGGCCCAGTGTTTGAGATTCAGCTCAGCGTTTAGTCTCCACCTCCCGTCCTCTGCTGTATTGCAACTCTACCTCCAGTGCATCTGTCTATTGTGCCATTTAAAGTTAAATCCCAAATTGTTTGCATAGTCAATTTACACACAGCTCTGACACACACACTTACCCCACCAGACATGCCACCAGGGGTCTTTTCACAGTCCCCAAATCCAGAACAAATTCAAGAAAGCATACAGTATTATATAGAGCCATTATTGCATGGAACTCCTTTCCATCTCATATTGCTCAAATAAACAGCAAACCTGGTTTCAAAAAACAGATAAAGCAACACCTCACGGAACAACGCCTCTCCCCTATTTGACCTAGATAGTTTGTGTGTATGTATTGATATGTAGGCTATTTGTGCCTTTAAAAAAAATGTATGTAGTTCTGTCCTTGAGCTGTTGTCTATTATTGTTCTGTATTATGTCATGTTTTGTGTGGACCCCAGGAAGAGTAGCTGCTGCTTTTGCAACAGCTAATGGGGATCCTAATCAATACCAGATACCAAAGTTAGCCTGGGCCTAATGGGGAGGTGGCAGCCAGGAGTAACGCTCATTTTATTTCTGTTAACATAATTGCTTTGGCTGTTTGGGTCTCAGGAAGGGAAGGGATGGAAAGCTGACAGGCTAGTGGAGTAATCGACTGTATATCAATAACCTGCTCTTTCTCTCTGAGTGCTTCTGCCTGCCCTGCACCGCTCCACCCTGCTGCCTGGCCATAAAACTGGCAAGCCTGTTATCTACAACAACACTCATCCTGTGTGTGTCTGTCCGACGGCTGCTCTCTCCTCACTGACTAGCAGAACACCTCTAGAGATCCACAGCTAGACATTCACTCTAATCTAACCCACCTGATTTGAGTTGGGGGATTTAAGCTAAACAGGCACAACTGAATGATAGCTATGGCTGAGACGAAGTGCCTTTGGGACAGTTTGTTGGTATCCCAAACCCATACTTTAGTGTTTCCCCTAGATTATTTTAGCAGGGGTGGCAAAGGTCTTGGAAGGAGGGTGGGGGATGTCACTGGGCATTCTGCGATCTTATGCTTAAACATTATAACAAATTCAATGGTGGCCCCTGGGCATGTGCCATGTGTTCCCGGTCGCTAATCCAGCCATTCCAAAAGTACTCCTAAATTCATTGTTTTATTTGATTGGTTTCATCGTTTTAACTTTTATTTTGGTGATTTTCAAAGATTATATTATTTAAATATAGGTCAATTATCTTTTCTACAAACTTTCTCTCTGGTTTAGTCATGTAAGTGTACACTTTTTTTAGTGCGCCGCTGCGAAATGAATACAGGGTAAACACTGGTTACCTCTTGTCTTGATACATAGAAAATGGAAATGGAGATCAGATCAGTTGTAACCAGAGTGCATTTGGAACTGTTCTAAGACTTTACATCTAAAATTAATCCATCTCATCTCTCCTGTTCAACTGATCAAGGGCATCCCCCCCGCGGCAGCTCAAAGTCAGCCCAGGGTTAACGTGCCCGCCCTGCCATCATGTGGGAGGAGGGACAGTCCAATCCTCTGGGTGACACATTTTTGTCTGGGAGTGTAATTGATGCTGGGGGGGAGGGGGCCGGAGTGAATAATTTAGACAGATGATGATGGCTCCGGTGACTAAAGTCCTCTGGAGTGTTATCATCATCAGAAGTCCTACCTTCTTAACCCCGAGCACAGCCCACCTCTAACCTCCAGGCCAACGTGTCTCTCTCAGTGGACTGCTTTGCTCTGTGATAAAAGGAAGACATCCTCTCCCTTTGGCTTATCTCTCTCAGCTATGTCTTTCATTTTGGGATGGGAGGATTTTCCCCCTCCTATCATACAGGATATTATGTTTTGCCCCGAATGAAAGCTGGGAAAGAAATGGCTTGGATCTATGCATGTTGAATATGCAATACACCCAGTCTCTATAAATAGGTTAACGCTAGCCCTCCCTTGCTGTGGTGAGCTGAGCAATGAGGCAGTTGGCTCATAGTTGGGAAGCTCCACTATGTTTTAATGATGGAGCCCCTGCTGGGATCCTGTAGCGGTGCCTTAACGGTACTCCCTCTGATGGAACGGCCTATTCTGGACCATTAGCCTGTCTGTGTGAACCAGGGTCATTACTAGCATCACACCCAAATGGCTGCTCACCGTTTTATACCATAGATGCGTCCCAAATAGCACCCTATTCCCTTTATAGTGCCTAATAAGGACCTGGTCAAAAAGTAGTGCACTATAAAGGGACTATGGTGCCATTTGGGATGCAGGCCAGGTCTCACAGGAACAAGGCGACTGCAGGTTCAATCCCGCTACAGTTAATTACTGTAGCCAGTCTACAGAGATTAAATGAGTTTAGTAAAATAGTCATATTTTCAAGAAAAGGTTATAACACGAGTGAATAAATTACAAATTCTCTGTTGTGACTCTTCAGACTATGTTTGGATGTTTAGAGATGAGCGTTAAAGGATCAGTCCTTGCTCGACTCGCATCCCTTTGTTGATGTGATGAATTCATACAGCAGAAGGAAGCATACATTCATTTTTAATCACCCCACACTGTCATCATTAATTCATGAGCAGAATGGGAAGAGACCCCCCTCCCCAGCGGGCGGTATGTGGGAGGGGATTGGAGAGCGATTAAGTTGCTGTTGGTGTGAAATGTAAATTAGCTCCACGAGACTGCAGCAATTAGCGAGGTCTTCACATTCATTGGCCCGTTTGTCCCCCTGGCACCCTCATTAGCCAATCCCGTCCTCCCACTGCCTCTCATATGTCATCAGACTACATCCACAGGATAGAAGACTCTGGCTGCCATGCCCTGTGTCGTCAACACCCGCTCTGGTGTCACCACTAATGTTTCTGATTGTAGATAATTGCACTAATTGCTATTGTCGTGGTTTGATGGTGTGAGTTTTAACCTGAGTGGTTGGAGCATAGAGATCCTATATGTTCCATATGTACTTTCATGGGTTGGAGGCCATGGAGGATGGATACATACATTAGTTTTGCCTTCTGGGAATCGGATAGATTTGTTAAATGGATGCAGGGCGGAGATTCGTCATTGTCTGAAACCTGACCCCATCATAAAGGAATCAATATTGACCCACCTGGCTGTGGAATAAACAGAATGGACCGCCCCTTCTAGCGCTGATAGAAACACTGAGAAAGAGTCCGTTCTAACCGGCCCCCGTTTGGCTTGCAACACTTTTCATAGTAGGCTGCTCTGACAGCCCCATCTTCACCCCTTCACCCCACTAGCCTGTCTCTCTACATAGGACTGGGAGAGCCCAGCCCATCCAGGAGACAGACGTATTTGTCGTCTGAGTCTGTCTGGTCAATAGCCATTTGTCTAGCCTTATGGGCAGTGGATGATTTCTGCAGCTCCAACTAGGTGTTATTGAGTAGAGAGTCATTCTCATGATTGCAACTGGCTCTCCTCTCTCCTACTACACGCTATGTTTTCTCTCAAGTGTGTGTTGGAGAGGTTTGCTGGTTCAGAGTTGGAGGATGGGCTCTCCCCAGCAGGGCTACCACAATTATCATATAACTGACAATTATGGACAATAACAGCTAACACATTTTTTAAAATACATTCATTTTAGGTGAAGGGGAGATTTAACTTTATATTTAAGTAGATATACTTTACCCAATATCTGTTTTTCATTTTTATATGAATAGGGTAAAGTTGGTAATCATTTTAAGAGCAGAACGGCATGGATGGGAGGAGAAGCTTATTTTCCAAACGTTCCAAGTGGTCAAAACCATTAGTTTATAAGACAGGGGTGTTACCAAAGCTGTGTTGTATTCATTAGGTATACCGCAGCGAATGTTCAAATATGCATTACGCTCAAATTGTTTTCTTTTTGATAAAAATGACAGTTATGACAGTAATCGCGGCCATTTCCATGACAATTCATCTTTACCCAAAATTCAGTAATCGTCACTGCCCCACTCCTCAGCTCTGTGGGGGGATGGGTTGTATGGGTAGTGTGGTAGCCCAGCCCCCACCCGTACATGCCGTAGACTTAAGTTGTTTAATATTGCATGGTGGCACGATGATGGCTCCAGCGCCAGCGTTGGGTGAGTGGCTTGTTGTCTGGACGGCACCGCCAAGCTTGCAGAGGTCATGGAGGATTTGTGCTGCAGGTTCACCCGCTGTCGACGCAACCAGAACAGCTCCCTCACCCGCTGCAGACTGGTAAGACCTGGGCACGCTGGACTGGAATTGGTAGAATACCTGATCAATGGGGATATAGAAGCTGAACTGGTCACATTGGCTGTGTGTGGTTTGGTTGTTAGTTGGCATTGGTGGCTGCTCTTTGTCTGTTTTGGATTGGTTGGCCTTTGTGGACTAGTGTGTTTCTTGAGTCTCATAGATGGGATTGTTTGCTTGGTTGATTGATGAAACACTGGGCTGTTGTGGCATTATTCAGGTTGACTGGCAGTTTAGTCTGTGTTCCAGTCTTTGTGAGGTGATCAGTATTGATGTGTTGTGTAGTAGCTTTATGGCTTTGATGATTGTTTATTTTTGTAACATCTTGGAGAACAAATCACAAAAGTGATACATTTTTCTTTCAATTACAGCTTATCATCTTTATTGATCCTCTTCTCATTTCGCCAGGGGACAAATTGGTTCACTATCTTTGTTATGAAAGGAATAACCGACTAACTGTTTTGATGACAAATTGATTTCTGCTCTGTTTTTTAAATTAAGAACGTTCTTACGTTTAGCTTCTAAGCAAAGTCGCCAAGTTTGAACGAGATCAAACCGCTTAGTGTCTCTGAGTGTTTGTTACCGCTGTGTGTGCGTTTGTTGGTGAGAAAAAGCATTCAGGCACTAAGTCATTCAGTGAGCTGCTGCCTGTCATATTGATAGGGCTGTATCATAGCGGCTGATCAGTGCCTGTTGAGCTATGACAGACGGTATGACCGACAGTGTGAAAGACAGACAGTGGGCCTGGGTAGGTAATGTAAGAAAGAGGAGTCTGGGAGGCCAGGCAGTGTGTACATGCCAAATGGCTCCCTATTTAGTGCACTACATTTGACCAGAGCATCCTATTTCCTATATAATGCACGACCTTTGACCAGGGCCCTGGTAGTGCACTATATAGGGAATAGGATGCCATTTGAGACACAATTACTGTCACAACTCCGTCTGTCTCAGTCTCCCAAAGGTCACCCGACAACCATAAAACATCCTTTTCTTCAAACCATGAAGAAATATGACCTTTCACAGAGGGGCAGTACCACACTCCCCATTATTTATAATCCTCTCAAGTTTTGTGTACCGTGTGTGTGTGTGTGTGTGTGTGTGTGTGTGTGTATGTGTGCGTGTGTGTGTTTGTGTGCGCTTGTTCATCTGTGTGTGTCCTGTGGTATTAACAGCTGTCCTCTCTTCCTGTCTGTGTCTGAGCAGCTTCCTGGAGACCTCAACAAGATGCACCTTACAGACCACCCCCACAGCCAGGGGATGCAAGTGCCGCCCAGCCAATCAGGATGCAGCATTGCCAGTGATTCGGGGAGCAGTAGCTTATCAGACATCTACCAGGTCTATACACACTTATGTATTTCACCATTCACAAACTGAGCTGACGTTGTAGGCAGGGTTCAAAATTAACACCCGCCAAATGCGGGTAGATTTTGTCATTGGTGGGTAAGAATGCATATTGGGAACTGTAGAAGTTGGTCGAATTGACAAGAAAGGCTACTGAAGTGTGACTTTGTCTTCGTGTTTCTTGGCCAGTTGCATCGTTTTGTTCACATGCTAGGTTGTTTTTCGGTTTTTAAATAACAAATTGACTGACATCAGTTCAATTATTAGAATTCCATTTCGTTAGTTTTTTTTCTGTGAGCTCAATGCGCTGCAGTTTCTCTAGAGATAAATCAGATCATGCCGAAACTGTGGGGGAGTTGTAGTTTCCAACAGGCCAATGTTCTACATAGTTTAGCACTCAAAACACAATAATTAACTACAATGACCATAATCCATTGCGTCCCACTTGTCCGGTCTGTGTTTCTTTTATGCCTGCTACGTAAGAGACAGAAGAATGCGCAATCAAGAGGGGATACATACGGAGCAGTAGCTTCAAGGGATTGGTATTCAGTAGTCATAAAAGTATGCCTTATTTACTTTGAAGAACTACTAAAATAGTGATTTTGTCAGACAGCATAGGCAGCAGCTCTATAGAGATGAGATGATGACTTGGAATGGAATAATAAAGTCATCAAATAAAACAAATATACACAACAACTGAAATATTTTATTAAAGTAAAGTAATGTGAATAAATGATGGTGAATAAGTGATAAGCAGTAATGGGCAGTCACTACCACCATGGGACTTTTATTAATTGTTTTATTCTGTGTTACAGCATTCAACCGACATAATGCATGGTGAATTTAATGTTTTAAAAAATTACGTTTTATATAATAATAATTTTTAAAAAGTATAATCGAACCGAAAACGAACCGACCTCAAAAAGCACTAATCGCTCAGCACTACAATGTTAGTTTGAGTTTCCTGCAACTTTCAGCTGCTAGGAAGACATTGCAGTCTGAGATTTTTTTCATCACAAGCTAGTGCCCAAGTTACCACGGTAAACTGTAGCTCAGTTGGTAGAGCATGGCGTTTGCAACGCCAGGGTTGTGGGTTCGATTCCCACGGGGGGCCAGTATGAAAATGTATGCACTCACTAACTGTAAGTCGCTCTGGATAAGAGCATCTGCTAAATGACTAAAATGTAATGTAAATGTAATGGCCCATCACTTAAAGGGACAGTTTACATTATTTGTCTTGCCTAATGATTGTGCTTGATTGAGCATGGATCACTCCCCAAAATGTTTGTTCACTACATTTTAGTCGTTGTTCTCCGAGATTTAATTATGTGCTTCTACATTTCTACTTAGGAGCACATCATGTACTCCTTGTGGCAGGGCAGGCACTTTGTTCACTCTCGATGTTCAGTTGTAGAACTGTTTATCTGTTTTTATTATTGGATCTTCATTATTTATTTTAACATACATTGGTCACAAAAAGGAAGTGAAATGAAGCAATATACCCCATTACTTCTTACTAGTAATACATTTCTTGTTTTTGAAACATTAGAAAGCATGCTCACTGTTATTTTTTGTAATTATGGAGAGAGAAAAATTGGCTGGTGGAACAAAAAGAAAATTTCCCAACGTGGTTGTAGGCCTAAAACATCACATTTCAAAAGCTTTGAAGTTCCATTATTTTTAAGTAATGCCCCTAACCTTAATACTGTTGAAGTCAGTCAATGCTTTCTTGGTGAATGTACTGGATCTGCGTGTAAAGCAGAAAGGGAAAAAAAGGTGTTGACTTTGCCATCTCAGAGGCTTCCCCAGCTTGACTAACCCAGCTCTCCCCAAGCTCTCTCCCTAGCCCTCTTGTTGCCACTCCTCATCCCTCTCCCCACCCTTCCCCTGCTGCCCCCTGCCTCTCCAGCTCAATGGCAGCGATGGTGGAAAGAACACGACCTCTCCTCCCATCCCTTCCGCCCAGGTTTGTTAATTATAGTGTGTGTTGGCTGGGCTTCCTGTGGTTCTGAGGGTCCCTCTCTCCCTCCTGCAGCGCTGTGTGCTAAAGGCCAGGGCACACAGGACCCCAGCCCCACACCTACTGCATCATCATCTCTAGCCCCACACCTACTGCATCATCATCTCTAGCCCCACACCTACTGCATCATCATCTCTAGCCCCACACCTACTGCCTCATCATCTCTAGCCCCACACTTACTGCATCATCATCTCTAGCCCCACACCTACTGCATCATCATCTCTAGCCCCACACCTACTGCCTCATCATCTCTAGCCCCACACCTACTGCATCATCATCTCTAGCCCCACACCTACTGCATCATCATCTCTAGCCCCACACCTACTGCATAATCTCTAGCCCCACACCTACTGCCTCATCATCTCTAGCCCCACACCTACTGCATCATCTCTAGCCCCACACCTACTGCATCATCATCTCTAGCCCCACCCCTAACGCATCATCATCTCTAGCCCCACACCTACTGCCTCATCATCTCTAGCCCCACACCTACTGCCTCATCATCTCTAGCCCCACACCTACTGCATCATCATCTCTAGCCCCACACCTACTGCATCATCATCTCTAGCCCCACACCTACTGCATCATCATCTCTAGCCCCACACCTACTGCCTCATCATCTCTAGCCCCACACCTACTGCATCATCATCTCTAGCCCCACACCTACCGCATCATCATCTCTAGCCCCACCCCTAACGCATCATCATCTCTAACCCCACCCACCCTTACCCTTTTAACTCCAGTTCACCCTCAACATTACATATACCTTTAACCCAGCCGCACCTTTACCCCACCTCTCCTCTCTCCTCTCTCTCCTCTTTCTCCTCTTTCTCCTCTCTCTCCTCTCTCTCCTCTCTCTCCTCTCTCTCCTATCTCGCCTCTCTCTCTGGGTGATGTGATGGCTCTGGCGCAGTCTCCTGCACCCCTGTGCAGCAAGCAGGAACTGATGGCCCTGTCAGTTTAGAGCTTCCCCGGTAACTGTTCTGAGACCTGCATGGGCCCAAATCCTCCCTCCCTCTCGCTTTCTCTCTGTGTCTCTGTCTCTCTCGCTCTCTGTTTCTCTCTTTCTGTTTCTGTCTTTTTCTCTCTCTTGCTCTCTTTCTCTCACTCTGTTTCTGTCTCTTTCTGTGTCTCTCTCTCCCTCCTCCTCCACATGCTGAAAGAACCAAGCTGCTCTCAGTCTGACACCCAGACAAAAGCACAAGGGATCAGAGATGAGGAGGGAGACGAAGACACTGATCCTCTCAGACAGTCTTTCTTTAGCCTAGTTCTTGTCTGCCTCTACTTGGCCATTGTAAACTCTTGTAAGGCAGTTGTAAGATCTCAAAAACTGTGTGCTAACGTTATTGTACTTCTCAAGAAGCACTGTCTATCTTCAGTCAAACTGGGGATATATGAATAGTTTTTAATAGGGCTACTTTGGTTGTTAGTAGGTCATAGGAGGGCTTGACCCAGATAAAGGCTTGAGTCGTGCACACCCCTTCAAGCTAATGAGCAGTCATTCAGTCAACAATGTAATTCATATATTTCATATATGCTATTGCTAAAATAATCATTTGGTTGTGTTTATGAAGGTCTTAGGTAACATTAGAATACATGTTTAAATGCATTTTCATTAGTTTATGTTACTGTAGGCTATGAAAAAACACAAAAATGAAAACATCAATAGCCTAAACATCATTATAAGCGCCAAGTGTGCTTGATAAATTGTGAAAGTCAGAACAAACGCAATAATGGCATTATAATGAATATAAGTGTCGTTATGACAGCAGTCCAAAATAGTCAATTATTGTCAGCTCGTGCTACCATGGTGTGCATTTTCACGCAATGGCATTTACATTTAGCAGTTATGCCTTGTCCTAACAGTCGACACAAATGTTTGCCACTTTCAATTGCTTGACACATTTCCCACAAACACGTCGCTTGCAGGTGACACAAGTGTCTTGGGTTTTTAGTGCATCTGGCCACCTGTCTCCTTCCCGGGAGCTGTGTGCAACGGCTCACGTGGAATCTTTGCTGCTGCCTTGGCCCTCATATGTACCTCATATGCCCGTGTGCCAGACTCATGATGAAGTCTCTCTTGGGCATGGTGTTGTTCATGCACTGCTTGAACAACACGTGTGGGTTGATAACAGCCAAGTCAAGCATGTTGTAGAAGACAGCAACAGGCCAGCGGCGGGCGGGTGCCTCCTTTTACAGAGTACAGCCGTGGTCCTCTGTAGCTCAATTGGTAGAGCATGGCGCTTGTAACGCCAGGGTAGGTGGTTCGATCCCCGGGACCACCCATACGTAAAAATTTATCCACACATGACTGTAAGTCGCTTTGGATAAAAGCGTCTGCTAAATGGCATATTATTATTATTATTATTATTATTATTATTATTATTATTATTATCTTAAACATCCACACCAACCTATGGAACAGAATAGAGTAGAAAACAGGAGGTTTATTTTCCCATAAGAAAAACAACACTTGTTATACAGAAATGCATTGCATAAATTTACTATATATCTATACACACACACAGTGGGTAGAACAAGTATTTGATACACTGCCGATTTTGCAGGTTTTCCTACTTACAAAGCATGTAGAGGTCTGTAATTTTTATCATAGGTACACTTCAACTGTGAAAGACGGAATCTAAAACAAAAATCCAGAAAATCACATTGTATGATTTCCATTATATGACTTCCACAAGCTTCCAACAATAAGTTGGGTGAATTTTGGCCCATTCCTCCTGACAGAGCTGGTGTAACTGAGTCAGGTTTGTAGGCCTCCTTGCTCGCACACGCTTTTTCAGTTCTGCCCACACATTTTCTATAGGTTTGAGGTCAGGGCTTTGTGATTGCCACTCCAATACCTTGACTTTGTAGTCCTTAAGCCATTTTGCCACAACTTTGGAAGTATGCTTGGGGGTCATTGTCCATTTGGAAGACCCATTTGCGACCAAGCTTTAACTTCCTGACTGATGTCTTGAGATGTTGCTTCAATATATCCACATAATTTTCCTTCCTCATGATGCCATCTATTTTGTGAAGTGCACCAGTCCCTCCTGCAGCAAAGCACCCCCACAGCATGATGCTGCCACCCCCGTGCTTCACGGTTGGGATGGTGTTCTTCGGCTTGCAAGCCTTCCCCTTTTTCCTCCAAACATAACGATGGTCATTATGGCCAAACAGTTATATTTTTGTTTCATCAGACCAGAGGACATTTCTCCAAAAAGTACGATCTTTGTCCCCATGTGCAGTTGCAAACCATAGTCTGGCTTTTTTATGGTGGTTTTGGAGCAGTGTCTTCTTCCTTGCTAAGCGGCCTTTCAGGTTATGTCGATATAGGACTTGTTTTACTGTGGATATAGATACTTTTGTACCTGTTTCCTCCAGCATCTTCACAAGGTCCTTTGCCGCTGTTCTGGGATCGATTTACACTTTTCGCACCAAAGTACGTTCATCTCTAGGAGACAGAACGCGTCTCCTTCCTGAGTGTTATGACGGCTGCGTTGTCCCATGGTGTTTATACTTGCGTACTATTGTTTGTACAGATGAACGTGGTACCTTCAGGCGTTTGGAAAATGCTCCCAAGGATGAACCAGACTTGTGGAGGTCTACAATTTTCTTGGCTGATTTCTTTTGATTTTCCCATGATGTCAAGCAGAGGCACTGAGTTTGAAGGTAGGCCTTGAAATACATCCACAGGTACACCTCCAATTGACTCAGATGATGTCAATTAGCCTATCAGAAGCTTCTAAAGCCATGACATCATTTTCTGGAATTTTCCAAGCTGTTTAAAGGCACAGTCAACTTAGTGTATGTAAACTTCTGACCCACTGGGATTGTGATACAGTGAATTATAAGTGAAATAATCTGTCTGTAAACAATTGTTGGAAAAATTACTTGTGTCATGCACAAAGTAGATGTCCTAACCGACTTGCCAAAACTATACTTTGTTAACAAGAAATTAGTGGAGTGGTTGAAAAACGAGTTTTAATGACTGCAACCTAAGTGTATGTAAACTTCCGACTTCAACTGTATATATATATATAGATATGGCAATGCGTATTATGTACAGTAATATAGACATACCTTTGTTTGGTTGTAGTGCGTAAAATATCTGGTTTTCTCTTGATTGTGTCCCAGTCGATGGCAACTGTCGGATGCATGGTGACAGAAACATTCTTTCTAGCCTTGCATTGGTATAGTGTGAATGTTGTCTTGTCATTCTTCAGCACCGCTGTGGAGTACAACGGCTGTGCAGGTGCCTTATTTTGCGCTGAGAGAGGGAGCCCCCGTCTCGCTTTGTTGATGGTGCCGACCAGGCTTGTTTTATTTGCAAGCAACTTGTTCGCCAATGACATTGAAGTGGAGAAGTTGTCCATTTCTTCCTCACCATCTGAGTCGCTTTCATCAGATCTTGTAGCAGCGCTAACGCAGCATGTGCATCCATTCGGCGTGTTCTTCTTACCATTGTAAATGATGCACGTTGTCACTGTGTACTCCAAGTAGGCCAAAGTAGACTGATGAGACTGCTTTGATTCAGTGGACTGATACAGGGTACATACCATTTTGAGATTAGAATTAGAAGATACCAATACGATAGAATGGCCCGCCCTGTTCTTCATTCACAATTGGTAATTACATAATGATGCATTGTCCGCTTCCCCTCGCTCATCAACTCACCCATTCTCCCCCATCGTACTTTACTTCATTTATTTCATCTGTTGTTATATGCATGAAATTAGTGTCCGTTTAGGTTCAGTTTCGAAGGCAAATATCGGGGTGATTATCAACTGGGCACTGTCGGGAGAAGGAGCAGAGCAGACCCTGCTGTCGGGAGAAGGAGGGGCAACGGGGGAAAACTAGTCAAAAAATGCAATGCCCTTCTAAAACGGGTTATAACTCCAGATCTGTTTGTGATATTACAATTCTAACAACGACAGTGTGTTATATAGACTTATTTGGAAAAAGTCAAGGATGGAGAGGGGCATGATTTTAAAAATGGCAGAGTAAAATGACTGCTTTAGCATTCCTGTTGATTTGAACAGAGCAGAGCAGGCAGGTGTCGTCTCTGTTACTGTGTCCTAGAGGGGCAGACAGATGGCATGCAATATTGCTACAGTGACTGGAGAGCTGGTCTCCTAACCTCGGGTTGCGGGTTCAAATCCCAGGCGATCTGAAACTTCCATAGCCCTCAGCACCAGCTCATTTCAACCCTCCCAACCATCTGGCCAAACAGCATGGAGAAAATGGGCAATATGAATAATTAGCGTATGCATAATGCTTAGTGAAGTGTTTGGCTATCTCTTGTTTTTGCACAGGGTGTCTGTTCTGGCGTTATGTGTGTTTTTTTGTATTAGTTGAAACAATAACCACGGTTATGTCTGTCATCTCTGCAGGCCACGGAGAGCGAGATGGGTGACGTGGACCTGTCGGGGCTCCCGGAGGCGGCGGTGGACTCTGAAGAAGAGGAGGAGGAGGATGAAGACCTGGAGAGGACGTCAGACACCCTGTTGGGTAGAGACCTTGTCAGGGAGTGTCTGGAGAAGGACCCCGTGGACCGCAACGATGATGACATCGGTGAGCTGCACACCACATTCTCCCCTGAATACCCCCTTTACTCAGTCTGTCTCTCTCTCTCTCTCTCACACTTTCTCTCTCTCACACACACTCCCACACCCCCTCCCTCTGTTTCTATAAATACTAAGGGCCTTCCCTGTTTAATTCACGTTTTATTTTTGCGCGGGCAATCAGCCGGGCCACCTCATTATTAGTGCAGTCCTGAGGGAGGGGGAAGCTGCATGCCCACACATCAGAGGACCCAGAGAGAGGCCTGCCTGGGGGCTGTTGGATGCATGGGTTGAAAGTCTCCTTTGCTGTTGGCTTGTTAGGCAGTAGGCACCGCAGACCCACTGAGATATGAGGAAATGGGGAGGGGGGGCCTTTTACAGAGAGTGAGGCTGGTGTGGCTGCACTACTGCAGGCTAGAGTCAGGTCACCCTGTTCTAGGGCACTGGAGCGATGAGACTAGAGGCAGCATGGGAACAGGACGTAATGCCTCCTCAGTCAGAGTGAGAGAATAGGACACAACCCTTGCTTCCGGACAAGCTAAACACCTTCTTCACCCACTTTAAGGATAATACAGTGCCACTGATGCGGCCTGCTGTCAAGGACTGTGGGCTCTCCTTCTCCTTGGCCGACGTGAGACATTTAAGCGTGTTAACCCTCGCAAGGCTGCCGGCCCAGATGGCATCCCTAGCTGCGTCTTCAGAGCATGCGCAGACCAGCTGGCTGGTGTGTTTACGGACATATTCAATCTCTTCCTATCCCAGTCTGCTGTCCCCACATGCTCAATAGATCCACAGATGATGAAATCGCCATCACACTGCACACTGCCATACATGCTTCCTTGTCCCTCTACCCAAGAAAGCAAAGGTAACTGAACTAAATTACTATCACCGCGTAGCACTCACTTCTGTCATCATGAAGGGCTTTGAGAGACTAGTCAAGGATCACATCACCTCTACCTTACCTGCCACCCTAGACCCACTTCAATTTGCTTACCGCCTCAATAGATCCACAGATGATGCAATCACCATCAAAATGCACACTGCCCTATCCCATCTGGACAAGAGGAATACCTATGTAAGAATGCTGTTCATTGACTATAGCTCAGCATTCAACACCATAGTACCCTCCAAGCTCATCATTAAGCTTGAGACCCTGGGTCTGAACCCCGCCCTGTGCAACTGGATCCTGGACTTCCTGACAGGCCGCCCCCAGGTGGTGAAGGTAGGAAAAACACCTCCAATTCGCTGATCCTCAACACTGGGGCCCCACAAGGGTGCGTGCTCATCCCCCTCCTGTACTCCATGTTCATCCACAACTGCGTGGCCAAGCATGCCTCCAACTCAATCATCAAGTTTGCAGATGACACAACAGTAGTAGGCTTGATTACCAACAATGACGAGACAGCCTACAGGGAGGAGGTGAGGGCTCTGGGAGTGTCGTGCCAGGAAAATAACCTCTCACTCAACGTCAACAAAACAAAGGAGATGATTGTGGACTTCAGGAAACAGCAGAGGGAACACCCCCCTATCCACGTCGACGGGACCACAGTGGAGAAGGTGGAAAGCTTCAAGTTCCTCGGCGTACACTGACAAACTGAAATGGTCCACCCACACAGACAGCAACAGCGCCTCTTCAACCTCAGGATGTGGCTTGGCACCTAAATCCCTCACAAACTTTACAGAGAGAGCATCCTGTCGGGCTGTATCACTGCCTGGTACGGCAACTGCACCGCCAGCAACCGCAGGGCTCTCCAGAGGGTGGTGTGGTCTGCCCAACGCATCACCGGGGGCAAACTACCTGCCCTCCAAGACACCTACAGCACCTGATGTCACAGGAAGGACAAAAAGATCATTAAGGACAACAACCACCCGAGCCACTGCATGTTCACCCCGCTATCATCCAGCAGGCGAGGTCAATACAGGTGCATCAAAGCTGGGCCCGAGAGACTGTTAAATAGCCTTCACTAGCACATTAGAGGCTGCTGCCTATATACAGAGATTAGAAATCACTGGCCACTTTAATAAATGGAACACTAGCCACTTTAATAATGTTTACATATCTTGCATTACTCATCTCATATGTATTTCCTGTATTCTATACTATTCTACTGTATCTTAGTCTATGCCGCTCTGACTTTGCTCGTCTATATATTTATTTATATATTCTTAATTCCATTGCTTTACTTAGATTTGTGTGTATTGGGTATATGTTGTGAAATTGTTAGATATTACTTGTTAGATATTACTACACTGTCGGAGCTAGAAACACAAGCATTTCGCTACACACGCAATAACATCTGCTAAACACATGTATGTGACCAATAAACGTTTGAGGTGCTACATTCTTATCAGTAACACAGCAGATCAGACCACTGCTCACTCACTTTTCACTCACTCTTTGTCTGTTTTTGTCCAACTCTTTTCTTCTACTGTACCTCCCATATGCTATTTTATGTTGCCTCCTTATTCTCTGTTAAAATGCAAAATCTTCTCTTCATTTATTACTTTCTCGCCTGGGATTTATCTGCCATTGAAATCATTGGGCGGGCCACCTAAGCGTTTTTTCAGGTCACCTAAAAATTTGATGGATAACACTTTCAGTGTTAACTTAAACGACTAAAACGAGATATAAAGTACACTACCAGTCAAAAGTTTGGACACACCTACTCATTCAATGGTTTTTGTTTTTTTAAACTATTTTTTACATTGTAGAATAATAGTGAAGACATCAAAACTATGAAAGAACACATAGATTCAAATAGCCACCCTTTGCCTTGATGACAGCTTTGCACACTTGGCATTCTCTCAACCAGCTTCATGAGGTAGTCACCTGGAATGCATTTCAATTAACAGGTTTGCCTTCTTAAAAGGAAATTTGTGGAATTTCTTTCCTTCTTAATGCGTTTGAGCCGATCAGTTGTGTTGCGACAAGGTAGGGGGGGGTGTGGGTATACAGAAGATAGGCCTATTTGGTAAAAGACCAAGTCCATATTATGGCAAGAACAGCTCAAATAAGCAAAGAGAAAAGACAGTCCATCATGAATTTAAGACATGAAGGTCAGTCAATACGGAACATTTCAAGATCTTTGCAAGTTTCTTCAAGTGCAGTCGCAAAAACCATCAAGCGCTATGATGAAACTGGCTCTCATGAGGACCGCCACAGGAATGGAAGACCCAGAGTTACCTCTGCTGCAGAGGATAAGTTCATTAGAGTTACCAGCCTCAGAAATTGCAGCCCAAATTAATACTTAACAGAGTTCAAGTCACAGACACATCTCAACATCAACTGTTCAGAGGGGACTGTGTGAATCAGGCTTTCATGGTCGAATTGCTGCAAAGAAACAACTTCTAAAGGACACCAAAAAGAAGAAGAGACCTGCTTGGGCCAAGAAACACGAGCAATGGACATTACACCGGTGGAAATTTGTCCTTTGGTCTGGAGTCCAAATTGGAGATGTTTGGTTCCATCCGCCGTGTCTTTGTGAGATGCGGTATGGGTGACCGGATGATCTCCGCATGTGTAGTTCCCACCCTAAAGCATGGAGGAGGTGTTATTGTGTGGGGGTGCTTTGCTGGTGACACTGTCTGTGATTTATTTAGAGTTCAAGGCACACTTAACCAGCATAGCTACCGCAGCATTCTGCAGCGATACGCCATCCCATCTGGTTTGGGCTTAGTGGGACTATCATTTGTTTTTCAACAGGACAATGACCCAACACACCTCCAGGCTGTGTAAGGGCTATTTTACCAAGAAGTAGAGTGATGGAGTGCTGCATCAGATGACCTGGCCTCCACAATATCCCAACCTCCACCCAATTGAGATGGTTTGGGATGAGTCGGACGGCAGATTGAAGGAAAAGCAGCCAACAAGTGCTCAGCATATGTGGGAACTCCTTCAAGACTGTTGGAAAAGCATTCCAGGTGAAGCTGGTTGAGAGAATGCCAAGAGTCCAAACTTTTGACTGGTACTGTATGTAGAAAAGATAAGGGACCTATATAATTATTTTATACATCATCTTTGAGAACTAACAATCACCAAGATAAAAGCTAGATAGTCAGGGAGAATTGAAAATTCCCAAAACAATGTCCCAAAACAATGAATTTAGTAGTATAGATTTTGTTATTGTATTTGAACAAAAGATCACAGCATTAGCCATGGCAAAATGCATAGAATTCCAGGGAATTTGCTTTAAAAGCAAAAAAAATCTACTCCGCCAACATGGGGGCCTCTAAAATTGTATCTAGAATTCAGCCGCGCCGACCGCGCCCCCTGCCACGCCCACCACCTAAGCCCCTTTTTGATTCAGAAAAAACCCTTCTCTCCTTGTCTCCCCTCTCATGTTCTCTCTCTCCTTTCTCCCCCATCCAGAACAACTGTTGGAGTTCATGCACCAGCTGCCAGCCTTTGCCAACATGACCATGTCAGTGCGGAGGGACCTGTGTACTGTCATGGTGTTTGAGGTGGTGGAGCAGGCGGGGACCATAATCCTAAAGGACAAACAGGAGGTACGGACCATAGCCAGAACACACACCTTCCTGATCAACCATTCCACATCACTAGGGCTAGGAATTTTTCCTGACCATGTGACGTTACCAGGAAAAAGTTTGGGATGTAGTTATATGGGCTGTAACTAGGGCCCGGAGTTTTCCCTGGTCTGATTACGTGGTAACATTATTCCATCCTGTAACAGCAGCCACCAGTGATCACATCCACATCTCTAAAACACCATATTTCATCCTATAGCCGCAGGTTTCATCTCCAAATGAATGGGATGTACAGTATGTAGCCAAGTTAACTCTGTTCAAAGCCATGCAGGAAACTTGCTGCAGAGCAGCAACCGTCAATCATTTAACCAGACTTACAGAACTAATTAATTGAGTTACATGCCTGAGAAAAAGGGAATCTTTCACGGCTGTCTGCAAAAGGCAGCGCCCAGCCGACAACTTAATATATTACATTGAATGGCCTCACCACTTACTTTAGCACAAGTGGATGGGATCTGCGTCAATAATGTGAGTCTACACACACACAGGTGTGTAAAGCAGGGGACAGCTACACAAGGCGATGTGCGTGTGTGAGTTCAGTATGTTAGACAGGTTGGCGATGCTAGATTTCCTAGACCTGCTGCCTGGCCTGGTCTGCTGTGGGCTGGTGTGAAGGTCAGAGGGAATCAGTCAGCCTTCACTGCAGCGTCCTTAACACTGCTACGAGACAATGAGGAGGCGAGAAAAGAGATAGTAGAGGGTAGGGGGGGAAAGGTGAAGGCAGCTCATCACATTTCCTCCATCTCCCTCCTTCACAATGCTTCCCTGTGTTCCACTTTGAAAAGCCTTTATTGCCTTCATGGTTGAAAGCCATGTTCAGCCATCTCATAGAGTTACTGTGGATGTAAGCTAGATGTTAATCTCTTCGACAAGCACTTCCCTGCCTGCAGAGTTCTGCACACACCTCACCCTTAGTCTGCAGTCTGATATTGGACTTCAGTGTGTTATATTCTAGAGATTCATAAGGTTGGAAAACACACTTCACTTTTGGAGAACCTCTTCTATTCACTCAAACTCTGTATACCACATACAGAGACATATTATAATACCAGGCAACAATGAATCTTTTGAGTGAAGCTCCATAAAAGCATCTCCTCTATTATGACGTTCAGCCAGCCAGTCAGTCAGTCCCTGTTTTAGTGATGGTGTTTGGCACTGCTGCTGTCATCACTGTGCAACCCCCCCCCTCCCAGCTGGACCTGTGGTATGTGATCCTGAACGGGTCGGTGGAGATCAGCCACACAGACAGCCGCATGGAGACCCTCTGCATGGGCAACAGTTTCGGAATCTCCCCCTCCCTGGACAAGCAGTACATGAGCGGAGTGGTACGCACCAAGGGGGACGATTGCCAGGTGAGATACTATTCTCTCATATAATTATTTAGACTCCTAGCATCTGGACTCTTAGGTCTGAGTCTCAAATCACACCCTATTTCCTATATAGTGCACTACGGGCCCTGGGACCCTAATGGAGCCTGCTCAAAAGTAGTACACTATATCGGGATTAGGGTTGACATTTCAATGTGAATGGCCACTCGAGTCGGCCCACTCAACCTCTTATCAGACTGCTATTATAACCCTATTATACTGAACAAGGAGCAGCCTCATCGAGAAATTAAATGGGAACTGTTCTTTCCCTTTTGCCATCGGGTTGGAAGATTAAGATGGCGGTGTTCTTTTATTCCTTGGAAATATAGAGATGAGTGGTATAAACGGTGTAGTATTGGTATCTATGGTGTAAATGTTAGTGATGCTACAGAGGTTTTGTATAATTTCAGCCAGTAGTTTTCAAAGTAGCACCCACGAGCCAAAATGGGTCCCCGAAAATTGTGCACAATTGTGTGCAACGTATTCCTTTTCTATGATATGTTACGTCCTGCAATAGAAAATAATAATAATCTGCAATTCATATGATACAGTGGGGGATTTAGTCAGCCACCAATTGTGCAAGTTCTCCCACTTAAAAAGATGAGAGAGGCCTGTCATTTTCATCATAGGTACACGTCAACTATGACAGACAAAATGAGAAAATACATTCCAGAAAATCACTGTAGGATTTTTAATGAATTTATTTGCAAATTATGGTGGAAAATAAGTATTTGGTCAATAACAAAAGTTTCTCAATACTTTGTTATATACCCTTTGTTGGCAATGACACAGGTCAAACGTTTTCTGTAAGTCTTCACAAGGTTTTCACACACTGTTGCTGGTATTTTAGCCCATTCCTCCATGCAGATATCCTCTAGAGCAGTGATGTTTTGGGGCTGTCGCTGGGCAACACAGACTTTCAACTCCCTCCAAAGATTTTCTATGGGGTTGAGATCTGGAGACTGGCTAGGCCACTCCAGGACCTTGAAATGCTTCTTACGAAGCCACTCCTTCGTTGCCCGGGCGGTGTGTTTGGGATCATTGTCATGCTGAAAGACCCAGCCACGTTTCATCTTCAATGCCCTTGCTGATGGAAGGAGGTTTTCACTCAAAATCTCACGATACATGGCCCCATTCATTCTTTCCTTTACACGGATCAGTCGTCCTGGTCCCTTTGCAGAAAAACAGCCCCAAAGCATGATGTTTCCACCCCCATGCTTCACAGTAGGTATGGTGTTCTTTGGATGCAACTCAGCATTCTTTGTCCTCTAAACACGACGAGTTGAGTTTTTACCAGAATGTTATATTTTGGTTTCATCTGACCATATGACATTCTCCCAATCCTCTTCTGGATCATCCAAATGCACTCTAGCCAACTTCAGACGGGCCTGGACATGTACTGGCTTAAGCAGGGGGACACGTCTGGCACTGCAGGATTTGAGTCCCTGGCGGCGTAGTGTGTTACTGATGGTTGGCTTTGTTACTTTGGTCCCAGCTCTCTGCAGGTCATTCACTAGGTCCCCCCGTGTGGTTCTGAGATTTTTGCTCACCGTTCTTGTGATCATTTTGACCCCACGGGGTGAGATCTTGCGTGCAGCCCCAGATCGAGGGAGATTATCAGTGGTCTTGTATGTCTTCCATTTCCTAATAATTGCTCCCACAGTTGATTTCTTCAAACCAAGCTGCTTACCTATTGCAGATTCAGTCTTCCCAGCCTGGTGCAGGTCTACAATTTTGTTTCTGGTGTCCTTTGACAGCTCTTTGGTCTTGGCCATAGTGGAGTTTGGAGTGTGACTGTTTGAGGTTGTGGACAGGTGTCTTTTATACTGATAACAAGTTCAAACAGGTGCCATTAATACAGGTAACGAGTGGAGGACAGAGGAGCCTCTTAAAGAAGAAGTTACAGGTCTGTGAGAGCCAGAAATCTTGCTTGTTTGTAGGTGACCAAATACTTATTTTCCACCATAATTTGCAAATAAATTCATTAAAAATCCTACAATGTGATTTTCTGGAAAAAAAATTCTCAATTTGTCTGTCATAGTTGACATGTACCTATGATGAAAATTACAGGCCTCTCATCTTTTTAAGTGGGAGAACTTGCACAATTGGTGGCTGACTAAATACTTTTTTTCCCCACTGTATGTTACGAATTCCAATTCATAGAATGTTACACATTTGTAAGTGCTTAAGGTCCTGTTTAATCTCTTGAAAATTGTGTTGGTTTTCACAAGCGAAGGAGGGCTATGTTGAAGAGCTGTTGCTTAGTCATACAGAAGAGGAACTTGGTCTTAATATAGAGATAGGAGGCAGCAGTAGTAAAAGTAGCCTGCCACTCGAGAACTGGTTTGAGCAACTCTCTCTGTTACTACCCAGTTTCTACACAAACCTGTCTAGTTCCTTCAAGAGCTCTTTCACCAGAAGCACTGTTTTCTGTCACTGTTTCAGACCCTGAACAGCAGCTCAGTGAGACGGCCGCAGGCAGAGGTGAACGCTAGCCAGGGGTGTGTAGCTTGACCGTTCAGCCAGGTGAATGTTAGCTAGGGGAGAGTAGCAGGACCAAGATAGCATACTGTGGCTAGTGTTTACGATCCTAGCTGGACCAGTTGCCAAGGGAGTGTAGCTAGTCTGTTAGCTTGTAGACTAGCATTGCTGGACCAGTAGCTAGGGGAGCGTGGCTGGACCATTAGCACTAGCCACCAGTCATCCTTCCCTGCCATGCCTCTCTCCTGCTCCCGGGACTCTTTCGTGTTGCTGTTTGAGTACCCAGTTTTAGTGCAGAGCACCAGGCTCCTGTACTGTAAATTCACCCGCTGTCCCCATGTCATTGTGGACCAGTTTGTGTGCATTGCCCAAGAGGACTACTGGCGTATCCTCAACCATGTGGAGAAGAACACACACAAGGTGGAGGAGGAGGGAGAGATCGTCATGGTGAAGGAGCATCGGGAGTTGGACCGCAGCGGCACCAGGAAAGGACACATCGTCATCAAGGTGAGGCTGAAAGTATAAGAGTTAAAGGGCCGGACACAGATTAGGCTATCCCTAGTCCTGGATGGTAATCTGTCTGAGAAATCAGCCTAAAATTGTTATTATTGGCTGGTTTGAATGTATGCATTGCTGAGACTACCTAGCTGTGACCACCACATGGTTCTACTATTGCGCCTGTAGATGCTATTGTTTTTGCATGGGTCCTATTGTCCAGCCCCTTAATCGATCTCCAACACTCGGTAAACAGCCAGCTATTGATCTACTAATGGACTAGACTGATTTCCTTGTCTTCATCTCCTAAGACTCCTTCGCTCCCCCAAACACCTACAGTATAGATGGGTTGCTGCTGCTGATCTGCGGAGTGATCCTCGCTTCTGTATTCTCTTGTCTTTAAATCATTTGAAAACTGCTGACTTGAATTACTATTCCCCTAAAAAAACACTCGGTTTCTGGTCAGGTGACCGCTCACACAAGGTTTGCTTTGAAGTGCTATCCTTTCACCCAATTCCATTTTTTCTTTTTTTAAATGGAGTAATCCAAGTCTTAATTGCCGCTGAGGGGACTAATAAAGTTGTATTGGATTGAATTGAGAGTTGGAATGCAGTCGTGATTAATGTGTGTCTGTCCACTCAGGGCACCCCAGAGCGTCTGATATTGCACCTGGTGGAGGAGCCATCGGTGGTTGACCCCACCTACATCGAAGACTTCCTCCTCACCTACCGAACCTTCCTCTCCAGCCCCATGGAGGTCGGCAAGAAGCTACTCGAGTGGTTCAAAGTCGACAGCCTCAGAGACACGGTGTGTACACTACTGTGTGTGTGTGCGCGTGCACGTGTGTGTGTGCGTTGTGCCGGCTTCTTTATGTGAAGGCATGTTTGTACTACACAGTAATCAATACAACTTGTGCCAGGTCAGCATTCTTGGGTGTAAGGGGGATTTGTCCTGTCGAGATACTCTCATAGTCCATAAATGATTTAACATAAGATTAGTCTTGTGCTGTCAATAGTCTTTATCGAGATATCACTTGTCGTGTAATCATTCTTCCTCTTAAAAGGGCCCTTCCCCTCAAAGAGTGTCACTGTTTGTAGCTCTGTCTGCGGTATGGTTGCTGCATTGTGAGCAAAGATTACCTTTGCTTTAGATTGGAACAACGCTACACTTATATTTTCAGCCACTGCTTTTCCGGACCCTTGCAGTTCAAAGAAAGATTACGGAGAAATATGATACATTGCCTTCAGAAAGTATTTATACGCCTTGACTTATTCCACATTTTGTTGTGTTACAGCCTGAATTCAAAATGGATGACATCGTTTTTTTTTCTCTTACCCATCTACACACAATACCCCATAATGACAAGGTGAAAACATGTTTTTAGAAATGTTAGCAAATTTAGTAAAAATTAAATACAGAAACCTCTCATTTACATAAGTATTCACACCCCTGAGTTAGTACTTTGTAGAAGCACCTTTGCACATCTGGATTTGGGGATTTTCTACCTTTCTTCCTTGCAGATTTTCTCAAACTCTGTTGTTAGATGGGGAGCCGCAGTGAACAGCAATCTTCAAGTCTTTTCACAGATTTTGAATGGGCTTAAAGTCTGGGCTTTGGCCGGACCACTCAAGACTTTCACATTCTTGTTCTGAAGCCATTCCAGCATTGCTTTGACTGTATGCTTACGGTCATTGTCCTGTTAGAACGTAAATGTTCACCCCAGTCTAAGGTCGTCTGCTCTCTGAAGCAGATTCTCATCAAGGATTTGCCTCTATTTGGCTCCATTAATTGTTCCCCCTATCCTTACCAGTCTCCCAGTCCTAATGCTGCCACCACCATGCCTCACGGTAGGGATGGTGTTAGATGGGTGATGAACTGTGCCTGGTTTTCTCCAGACATAGCGCTTTGCATTCAGGCCAAAGAGTAAACACATTTTTTATCAGACCACAGAATCTGTTGCCTTATGATCTCAGTCTTTCCCGTGCCTTTTTGCAAACTCCAGATGTGCTGTCATGTGCCTTTTTCTCAGGAGTGGCTTCCATCTGGCCACTCTCCCATAAAACCCAGATTGGTGAAGTGCTGTAGAGACTGTTGTCCTTCTGGCAGGGTCTCCCATCTCAGCCAAGGAACTTTGTAGTTCTGTGAGAGTGGTCATTGGGTTCTTGGTCACCTTCTTGACCAAGGTCCTTCTTGCCCGGTTGCTCAGTTTGGTCGGACGGCCAGCTCTAGGCAGAGTCTGGGTAGTTCCATATTTTTTCCATTTCCCAATGATGGAGACCACTGTGCTCTTGGAAACTTTCAACACTCTAGAAATTGTTTTATACCCTTTCCCAGATATATGCCTCTTCACAATTATATCTCTGAGATCTACGGACAGTTCTTTGAACTTCATGGTATAGTTTCTTCTCTGGCATGCACTGTCAACTGTGGTACCTTATATAGACAGGTTTGTTTCTTTCTAATTCATGTCCAAACAATTAAATTGGCCACAGGTGGACTCCAATCAAGTTGTAGTGAAATCTCAAGGATGATCAAAATAAATTGTATGCACCTGAGCTCAATTTGGAGTATCATAGTAAAGGGATGTGAATACTTATGTAAATGAGTTTTCACTTTGTCATTATGGAGTATTGTGTGTAGATTGTAAAAAATATATTTAATCCATTTTGAATTCAAGTTGTAACACAACAAAATGTGGAATAAGTCAAGGGGTATGAATACTTTCTGAAGGCACTGTATCTTTAGCCTCAGCTAAAATTGAATGTTTGATCGTTGGAGCTTGCTGCTTTTTAGAAATGTACAGGATTCTCTATGAAGTTTGTTGAATAAGCTTTGACAGCCTTGTGTTTCGCTGTGCAGGTGACACGGATAGTGTTGTTATGGGTGAACAACCATTTCAACGACTTTGAAGGTGACCCAGCCATGACAAGGTTCCTTGAAGACTTTGAGAAGCTGCTGGAAACCACAGTAAGATCACCTTTCCCATATTGTGTCTATACTAATGGTGTGTCCCAAATGGCACCCTATTCCCTATAGTGTACTACTTTTGACCAAAGCACTATGAGCACTGGTCAAAAGTAGTGCACTATATAATGAATAGGGAGCCATTTTGGATGCAACCTCTGCTGAACATAATGTGCATTGACCTCAAGGCGTTCACATCTTCACTAAACTAAAGCCTCACACCTTGAGCTTCACTCTGTGGTCAGACAGACATGCAATCAATCTTCTGTCTGTGGGTGTAACAACTCTGTGGTTGAACCAGATGTTAGCTGTTAGCCCAGGTCAGTTGAGTGAGTGAGTAGGTGTTGAAACCTTTTCTGTTCCTTTAGAAAATGAAGGGTCACCTGAGGCTACTGAACATAGCGTGTGCAGCCAAGGCCAAGTGGAGGCAGATCACCCTGCAGAAACCATCCAGAGAGTCCCCGCTCTACTTCAGCCTGCATGGCGGCAGCGAGAGGGGCTTCGGCATCTTCGTCGAGTCAGTGGAGGAGGGTAGCAAGGCCGCGGAGGCTGGACTCAAACGGGGAGACCAGGTAGGAGAAGTGTTTACTCGTGTTGTAATGTTTTTGTATTGTATTTTTTATATTCAAAAAAATACATTTCATAGTGTTCAGACTGCTGTTCAGATGCCATTTGTGGGTAGTTTCAGTAACTAGTGCAGTTGACTCAAAGCTCTCTTTATTTTCCTCCTTCAGATAATGGAGATCAATGGTCAGAACTTTGAGAACATCTCCTACGCCAAAGCTATGGACTTCCTGAGGAACAACACACACCTCTCCCTCACAGTCAAGACCAACATCTTCGGTTAGTACAATCTGTCCTCTTACCAAAACGAGGATTATTTCATTAACGATGCAGGACCACCTGAAATTAAAATGACAGATGTTAACAGTGGTCTGTACCTGGGTCAGTACCTGTGGCCAGTCATGTGTTGGGTTGCAAAATGCTTGTAACTTTCTCACATTTCCCAAGTCTTCCAACCATACTTTCTGGAAAACCTGGGAATTTGGCAAAAGTTACCAGGATTTTGCAACCCTAGTTCTGTGACTGCGTCTTGCCAGCCACCCACTATCCCTCCTCTCCTCTCCCCAGTGTTCAAAGAGCTGCTGAGCCGGATCGTTCACGAGAAGAAGAATGGCGGTCCCCACATCCCTAAGATCCAGGAGAAGAAGTGTAACCGCTTCTCCATCCCAGACCTGCCCGGAGACATGGAGTTCCCCACAGACCACAAGGCCACCAAGAAGATGAAGGCCAACACCGTTTCTGGAGGACGGAACAAGATCAGGAAGATGCTAGAGAAGACCCGCTTCAGCATCCTACCACCTAAGCCCTTCAGGTAGGAGAGTGTTGTGTTGTAGTTGTTTTATATTCACTGGGCTTTAAGATGAAAGGGAGTCCATCATCATCATCATCATCATCATCATCCTCAATTTCGCTCCATATCAATGACAGCTGGACCGTTCTCTGTTGTTCTACCCCTAAAAGCTTTTTAAAGTTATTGTAGATTAAAGGAAAAGCTTTTTGGGGAGGGTCTGTTCTTTGAAAACCTAAACATGCAATTTTAGTCTGATTTCATACCTTCCAGAGGACTCATTATGATCCATAGTGTTTCAGTGCAGAGTGAGAACGAAACAGTGTTAATTGCCCAGGGAGACGTTGGCAACGCTCTCACATAAAGTTCTTCCTTTCCCCTCCACGCACGCTCTGCTCTGTCAGCTCATCTAGTGTAATTACCCTCCATTTCATGAAACCGTTTAGCATCATTGAGCCATTGATCTGCCATAGCCAACCAACAACTGTATCTAAATCACAACGCTTTTATTCATGTTTTATTCCATTTACTCTGAGGGGACTTAAAGAGAGTGGAGATGAGAGACTGATTGGGGAGCATCAGGCTTCATTAGTAGCTTATTATAGACAGACAACATTATAGAATGTGGTAGTAGTGCACCGCGGCGGATGCTAGTTGCTAGCGACAATGGTAAACTTCATCAACAGCTCTATGTGTGGTTGTTCTTCGTGCTGGGGTAGTGAAGTCAGTGTATGATTTAAGATGTCAGTCACTTCTGATGCTTGTCTTTATGCTGTCATCTCAATAGGCTGCTGATGAGATGGAACATGTCCTCTTCTCTCTACTTAGGCTGTGTCCAAAATGACACCCTATTCCCCACTTTTGCTTTGACCAGGGCCCGTACGGAATAGTGTGCCATTTGGGACACAGACTTAGTTTAATGAACAGTGGCGAAGACCGTACAGGGCAAGCACAGGTCTCCGTCTTTATTCCACTGGTGTGATACTTGAGTCATGTGCCTTTTCTGATGGCGATGGAAGCAGGAGGATGGACAGGTCAGGGAAGTAGGCTACTCTCTTCAGTCTGCAGTATTCTACAGTAGGACAGTCACAGGACTGCCTGGCTTTGCTGCTGGGTCATATATTGACCAACCAGTTGATTTACTGGGATTCCATTGGCAGCCAATAGACTAGGTAGTTTGAGCTGGACACTAATGGTGGTGATTTGGCGAGGTGACTGTAAGGGATAGCCAGGGTATGTAACATCTCATCTCCTAAACTCTCATTCTTATACTCATTATCTGTGTTTAAAAGTGTAGAAGTAGATATATCAGCCATTTGTCAAAAGCAGACTGTGTCCTGGGACTTTCCTGGTGTAAATGTACACTGAGTGTATAAAACATCAGGATATAATATTGAGTTGCACTCCCTTTTGCCCCCAGAACAGCCTAAATTCATCAGGGCATGGACTCTACAAGATGTTGAAAGCGTTCCACAGGGATGCTGGCGCATGTTGGCTCTAATGCTTCCCACAGTTGTGTCAGGTTGGCTGGATGTCCTTTGGGTGGTGGACCATTCTTGATACACATGGGAAACTGTTGAGTGTGAATAACCCAGCAGCGTCGCAGTTCTTGACACTCAAACTGGTGCTTCTGGCACCTACTACCAGACCCCGTTCAAAGGCACTTCAATCTTTTGTCTTGCCCATTCACCCTCTGAATGGCACACATACACAATCCATGTCTCGATAGTATCAAGGCTTAAAAATCCTTATTTAACCAGTCTCCTCCACTTCATCTACACTGATTTGAAGTGGATTTAAGAAGTGTCATCAGTAAGGGATCATAGCTTTCACCTGCATTCACCTGGTCAGTCTGTCATGGAAAGATCAGGTGTTCCTAATGTTTTGTACAATCAGTGTATATTAAATGTGTAAATGTATATCAGATGCTTTGCTTTAGTATGTTGGATTAATGTGAGGTTATCGGTTACGTCAATGATGATTGGTTCAACTAAAGAAGGAAAAATGATTTCAGCCTATTTGTTTTTCACTACTTTTATGTCTGCCCGTGTGTGTTTGAGGTTGGTGGCTTCTTAATTGGTGAAGAAGGGCTCGTGGTAATGGCCGGAGCGGAATCGGTGGAACACATGGTTTGATCCATTCCATTTGCTTCGCTCCAGCCGTTATTATGAGCCGTCCTCCCCTCAGCAGCCTCCACTGAGGTGCATGTACTGTATGTCCATCTGTATGTGTCTACTGTCTGTCTGTGTGTGTAACGTCCAGTGTCTGGATACTGTGGCCTTGTCTCCTCATTATCTGCCTGTGTGTTGTTGTTGTTGCTGCTCACTGCTAACATGCCTCTGGCACACTGTACTGTACTGCAGACGTGTTGTTCTCATGCACTGTCCTCTGTCTCTCCTCTAACTGCCTCACCTGCACAGGGGACTCTTTGGGTAAGACACTTGTTGTGTAATTAGTCCCCTCATTTACTGGCAATGTGGAGAAAACACAGGTTGTGTTCCAAATGGTACCCTATTCCCTATATGGGCCCTGGGCATTCAGTGCACTACATAGGGACTAGGGTGCCATTTGTGACACGTGCACTCACAGTCATTGTAGGCAGGGATGAATTCAGCAATTTCCTTTAACAGAAAGCTAGAGGACTGCGTTGTGATCTTCATGTGAAATCATTCCGAATATCTGCGCACATTCCTAAAGCTACCGAGGTGCTTAACAGATTGAAGCTCTCATTGAAACCTGTAGACGTTCTGTTCTGTTCCTACCGTACCTGTTTATTCCTCTCTGTAGAATTCTCTACAACTTCAAGGTCAGTCAGATAGAGCTTGAGAATACAGTGAAATATTGTATGGAGTTCAGGGTGATTCTATGCTCGTGTGTACTTTCATGTACAGCTTTTTATCACTTATCAGCTTCACATCCCATAGTGCTTCACTCCACAGTTTATACATACAACATACCTTACTCTAAAGGAAATTAATTTGATTGGGATTGAAGTATAACATGATAAGGTGCCTATAATAGTATGCTGAAAAGTGCTCACACGACTAACCTTGGTGTAGTGTATCCATCTGAATCACCCTGGGCCATGCTGGCCTAAGACTGAGTTTTGAGGTATGAGGAAGTAGTTTAAAAGTTTGGTTGAGTCACAAGTTACTGAGGAATGGGATTGTCATTAGGACTTCATGCGGTGGTACATATGATAGGTTCGTATCTATGACGCTTGTATGTTTCTGTCATTTTAATGTATGTGTCTACGTCTACATTTTGTTTATGGTGTGTATGTCTGTAAGTTGTTATCTCTGATATTTGTCTGGAATATTGTTCTTCCCTGCTGCTGTCTTGGTTGGACCAGGTCTCCCTTGGAAAAATAGATGTTATCTCAATCAGACTAACCTGGTTAAATAATAATAAAGAAATAAACATGCACTCTGCTAACCGCCCTAGCCTGGTCCCTGTTCTCTTTGTACTGTCTTGTCAAGCCCTATAGTTATTGTCACGCCAAACCATAGGAGTTGGCAAGACCGCACAAAAGGATCACCAGGATATGTTGGCCCCGTATCAGTCTGTGTTTGTCATTTGGGGGAGGAGGGGCCTTGAAATGTCAATCAGTCAGTACACCTGTGGGGGGAGACTTTTCTGAGGGGACTTTTCTAACCAGCATCCCATTGACAGCATGGCTAGCCAAAATCTAAAACAGACCCTTACCTTAACCATAAGCCCAATTCTTACCGACCGTAACCTCATTTTAACCCATTTGGAAATTAGGCCTAGGCCTAAATATCGCTTTACACGTCAGCCACGTCCCCTTCCTTCTCACCCAGCTGCGAGGGCCATTTAGTGCAGAAGCAGTCAATTAGAGCTGCAGCCTGGAGGCATGATGATGGTGTGTTGGTATTCCAACACCCTCTGGGGAGCGGTATCTAGCCACAAAGACACCACCGTAATGAGACCATTCATCTAAAGGAGTCATTTGCATATCAGACCCTTAATGCTGATGTCTCTCTCTCAGTCCCTGTTTACCCTAGAGAGTTGACTCTAGACATACGCACAGAGAGGCAGGCCAGGCAAGCAGACCTCTCATCCCAGCCCCATTTGAATTGTCTGTCTGAGATTGAATGTCACGCATAAAGGTTGTTTTTCTGTGTTTGTACAAAGGCTTCTCATCCTTGCCATCAATCATGCATAGTGTGTGTTTGGGTGTCTGTGTGTGTCTCATTGGTGTGTGTATGTGTACTCACTGTGCTGTCATCATTCCTGGGCCCTGTTTGTATTGGGTTTCTGTGCACCCTGCTCATCAGCCACATCATTCATGTGGTCTTTCATGGATGGGTCTCAGCCAACCCCATGAGTATTCATAACTACCTATGAAAGGATTGCCATGATTGCAGTGCACTGTATGGAAATCAGGAAGACCAGGAATGCTTACTCAACTGTTTATTTTTATGCAGTGATATTGTATATATGGCTCTGGGGCCAGGAGTTCCTGACCAGGAAAAACTCTTAATCCCTGATTTGACATCCTCTCTCATCTCTCTCTCTCTCTCTCTCTCTCTCTCTCTCTCTCTCTCTCTCTCTCTTCTCTCTCATGTGTCTCTCTCTCTGTCTACTATCTCTCGCTATCTCTCTCTATGTTTCGCGATATCTCTCTCTCTCTCGCTATATCTCTCGTATCTCTCGCGTATCTCTCTCTCCGCTATCTCTCTCTCTCTCTAGCTATCGCCTCTCTCCGCTATCTCTCTCTCTCTCTCTCTCTCCTATCTCTCTTCTTCTCTCGCTCTTCTCTCTCTATCCTCTCTCTCTCTCTTTCTCTCTCTCTCCTCTCTCTATGTGCCACAGTGTGGTGGCGTGGGTCAGTCTAAGGATGACAGCATTTGTGGGCACTAAGAAGTGCAGGCACAGCGTGGCCATCATGCCCATCCCTGGCAGCTCTCATCAGCCAGCCCTCGACCTGCTGACCGCCAGCCACCAGTGTGTTGGACTTCTCCAACCCAGCAGGTGAGAGACGGACACATACACACGCACACATGTATGCGCGCACACACACACATGCAGAAGCCACTCACAGAAGGGTATTTTCTTGGTTAAATAAGGGTTAAATAAATACACAGAGGCAGAAGCACTCACTGTCACTAGGGCATCTGCTGGAGCAACATCTCACCATTCACTCTCATGCTCACCACAAGGCCAGAGGATCTCCAGTATACCTGATGATTACAGCTTGTAGTGACTACTGCTCACAACTCCACTGAGACAATTACCAACTGAAGATGGGCACACTTTACATAAGTGTTTATCTTGTTCATTTTTCAAGTGTATGGCCTCTTCAGACTGGGTTAAATAGGCAATAGGCATAACATTGGAGCTGTGCAGTGGGAAAACGGCAGTAATTACTCATGGAAGAACACTTCTCACAGAGAGAGAAAGCACTTCCTGCTTGGAGAAACTCCTCACACTGCTCTGCCCTGCAGGCCCTGAGGTTAATCACAGAATTGACCATTATGAGCACGCCACAAACACATACACACACCGGTGTTCCGTTTCTCCTCTGTCTCTCAAGCATTTCCATTTCAAGAGCTCGGACATGAAATAGAATTAAAGCCATATGAAAAGGATTAAACGCTGACAGATTTCAGAGCCCATAATTATTGAAACAACTAAGCGGCCTCCCCGAGGAGAGAGGAGGGGGGAATATGCTTTTGATATATCCTCCCCAATCATTTGTCATTCAGCGCAGCCCGCAGACAGAGGGTCCATGCTGCGGCCCCAATACATCACGCACGCCTGTAGAGGACTGCCCCCCCCCCTCCACCAAGCCCATTGAGATAAGAGCTGAATCATCTTCTATTAGTGCCGTTTCTCTTCTCCAACGACCACACTCTGGCTTTTTCACTGTGAATGACGGCTAGGTAGGGGGGATGTTCAGCGACAAGTGCAGACACCCCCCACCACCCCGGTAGAACCCCCTATCCACTCATCTCAAAGCAGCCCTCTCAGTGTGGGGAGTAATCCCTCACAAAGCCTGGCCTCCAATTAGATTAAGAGGGGGATCAGAGAAACTGGAGTTTGCAGTTAAGTACAGTGTTATTCTTCGAGGCCTTCGGTTGGGTGTAAGAAGGCTTGTCTGGGGGCTTGTGTGTGTGTCACTGCGGCAGACTCAGATCTCAGCTCTCTGTCACACACACACTGTACCCTCCCTCTCTCCAGTACACTGATCTGATTATAAACAGATACTTTAGTGAAAGTCCTGCCCCGCTGACGTTCTCCGTTGTCCCACAACGGGAAAGCTGCAGTTCTAGTCCTCTCTTTTCCAACCACTGTTCTCTCTCTCTCTCTCTCTCTCTCTCTCTCTCTCTCTCTCTCCTCTCTCTCTCTCTCTCTCTCTCTCTCTCTCTCTCTCTCTCTCTCTCCTCTCTCTCTCTCTCTCTCTCTCTCTCTCTCTCTCTCTCTCTCTCTCTCTCTCTCTCTCTCTCTCTCCTCCTCTTTCTGCTTCCCCAGCCGTGGGCTTCTACTGTAAGTATCTATGTGCTTTCTCCCCAGTCTCAGTGGAAGACTTGGGTTGTGTGTTTGTTTTGGCGACATTCAGTTTATGCTTCCAAGTTTCCCCTCCCGTCATTTTTTCCCCTCTTCATTCATGAGCTTTCGAGTTCGGTCTCTCTCTGTGTCATACGTCATGAACCCCAGTCTATGTTGGGCTCTGCGTGGTCGTCTTGTGCCTCGTCCCTAATGGCACACTGTTCCCTACATAGTGCACTACATTTGAAAAGAGCCCAATGGGACCTGGTCAAAAGTACTGCAACTAATTGGGACCTATCCTTAGTGATGGCTGAATGTGTTTGAGTATTTTTATGTTAAAGGAGCCTTGCTTCATGTTTTAAGTTCCATGCCTTGCCCTGTGCTTCCTCCCAGCTCTGTTGCTCTGCTCCTGTCTGCTGCTGCTGCTTTAGGTGTGATTTATATCTAATGGTTCTGTGACAGAGTGGGGGGGGGGGGGTTCTAGTAGGAACCCTAGTACCGCAGCGTCAGCAGAAACTTCCCAAGAAAACCGCCCAAGAGCCAGGAGTCTTTTCTCTGTGAAAAACAGGCTTTTCCTGTGTAGACTCCATCTTTCTCATGATACAATAAATAATTGGTTTATTATCGTTCTCATTCGTTTAGGTCGGTATTAGTCCTGTGAAGGAGATGTATAGGTCATTATTAGATATGATTGGACGGTATATGATTGCTCTAGACCCTCGTCACAAATCACCCCCACTTTTAGTTTAAGTAGGTTGAAATGGTTGATTATGGCTAAACCCCTGCACTGTATTTAGACTCCTCTGCAGCAGCATTATTGGTGTGGCTCAGTGATTAGTTTCTGCTGATCGTGCTGCTTTAACAGGAACAATGATGGAGTTTCTAGTTATGGACTCAGCCATAGTGAGAGATAAGACCAGAAAGGAGCACATAGCTTCTATAATGACTGTGCCTCACAGTCCATTGAGCATGCTTCACTCTACTGCCTGAAAAACATGGAGGGAGCAGGGCAGTGTTCGATACAGTCATCTGTCAACCAAGCCCATTCCCCCTTTTATTTATGTTTCCTCTTGAAGTCATTAGACTCCCTGCATGACACCATCCCTCCCCCTGTCCTCCCTCCCTCCAATGGCATGCCTTTATCCACGCTCCTTCCCTCCACCCATACCGCTTATCGTCCTTCACCATTCATGCCTCATTGTTTTACCCTGCTGATGTGTGTGTAATGGAGCACAAGCACTTTCATGTTCAAGCAGAGAAAGGTGAAGTGCTTGTTCCCTTTGGCATATAGGGAAATGCATCTCGCATGCATATCCTTTAGCCACAAGGGCTGTTTGCGTCCTTATTTGTAACTTTTGGGTTAAGATGGATATGGTCAACTTTGTTGCTGGAGACTTATGTTTTGAATGCATTTTATTTTGGATCACTATTTATGCTTCTGTATAAAAGATTTCTGTGTCCCAAATGGCACCTTATTCCCTTTGGGCCCAGGTCAAAATGTACTGCATCTATATAGGGATTAGGGTGCCATGTGCAACGCATCCTACGTATTCTGGTATTCCATCCATCCTAACTCTTTAAAGCTGTTCTTCTCCTCCACTCGTCAGACATTCCAGACCAGGTGATCCGGGTGTTCAAGGCTGACCAGCAGAGCTGTTACATCATCATCAGTAAGGATACCACGGCGAAGGACGTGGTCAGTCACGTGGTCAACGAGTTTGGCCTGAGCGCGGCCCCGGAGACCTACTCCCTCTGTGAAGTGTCGGTCAGTCCCGAGGGCGTCATCAAACAACGCAGGCTACCTGACCAGCTCTCCAAGCTGGCTGACCGCATCCAGCTCAACGGCAGGTAAGACACTGGACTGTGGTCTTAAATACAGGTCTAGGATCAGATTACACCACCCCAATCCTATCTTTTAACCTTAAGGGGAAAATGTGATAATATAATCTGACCCTGTATTAGTTGTTTGGTGAAACTTCTTCCCACTTGGTTCCCCTCAGGTCTGACAATGAGTTAGACTGAAGTGAGACAGGGAGGGACTGCTAAGCCTCCCCTCTCCCTTCCTCCTCCCTTCCTCCCCCCTCCCCTCCTCCTCTTCATTCCCAGAAATGCCCTCTCAGAACGCGTCAGTTAAAATGTCTGCCCTCTCTGCTCCTCTCCCATCCTCTGGTCTCCCATCAGACTCATCCCAACTAAGTTAACATGAATATTTGATCCTCTGTCACTGTGTGTGTGCCTCTCTCTGCAGACTGACACGCCTGGAATAATTCATACATACACAGCCAGCCGCAGCGGCAGCACACATAGCCCTGGTGCCTTATGGGTAATAAACGGCCCCTTGGCGCCGGGCAGCGGCCAGAATAGAGCAGCGCTAAGCTAGACAATGGAAGCTGAAAGACATTCTTGTCTAGTAGGCTTGTAGATAGCCTGTGTAGACAACAGTATTTATGCTGCGTTACATTCAACATCTGTTGTGTGATGTATTATACATTTCCCTCTTTCCACTGCCCCTCTCTTTGTCACCCCGCTTATCCATGAAAATAGAGCAGTACATGCCTGGTCGACCTGTTGGGACTTCTCTATGCATTGAGCAACTGACCCTTGATCTGACATGGTGGGTGATACACAAGCTTAGCCAGCAGAAACCCTCCAGTCCTCACTCAGTCCCTCCTGACAAGCCTATACACCCATCTAGCCAGGGGAGTCTCCCCAGCCAGCTCCATCTACAGCCCCTGGCCCAGCGTCAGCCCCAGTGGCCCTCCAGGCAGCCACAGGCAGCTAGAAGCAGCAGCAGGCCTCCTTCCAGGGGGCCAGGCAGCAGAACCCTAACCCCTTCTACTGTACCCATCACTGATTCAGATCCCCATCCCTGATGCCTTCAGTTGGCAGGGTCGGCCAGGGCATTTTAAGTACAAATCAAATACGGTAACGGGCGCCCGGATGTTGCCCCTGAAAAGTGGCACACTGTAAATGTATTGCTGGCTGCTGCACTGCATTCTAGGTTTAGCTGTAGACACATTTTGGCTCCATTAAGAAGCGCTAGTCCAATGTGCTGCTCTTGGATGCTCTCCCAGAAAAGGGCATCAGGGAGAAATGTCTCGCTCTCACCCACCCATGGGAAAATGTATGGCTGTAATGGATCACCACTGTCAGGGCAAGAGCCTCTCTCTCCCCCCAACACATCTTAATACTGCTGCTGTTTGCTGCTGCCCTGGTGGAGTTCACATAGTATACACACAATACATACAATAATGGTGGCATGTTTTTTTCATGTGGTTATTTATTTTATAATGATAATGATGCATTTTATAATTAAGCAATAAGACACCTCGGGGGATTGTGGTATATGGCCAATATACCACGTCTAAGGGCTGTATCCAGGCACTCCTCGTTGCGTCGTGCTTAAGAACAGCCCTTAGCCGTGGTATATTGGCCATATACCACAAACCCCCGAGGTGCCTTATTGCTATTATAAACTGGTTACCAACGTAATTAGACCAGTAAATAGTACTTTTTTGTAATTTTCGTGATGTAGCACTGCTTTCAGCCAATCATCCTTCAGGGCTCGAACCACCCGGTTTATAATAACTAATTTGTCATAAAAAAAAAAGATCCTATTTTTTTTTTTCTATACATGGTCTTGAAGTTATATCTGCTTTGTAATCAACACATTATTTCCCCAGTATTATCCTCAGTATAAGCCTAACCCCTATTATTGCCATTGGCCCCACCCCCACCCCCACCCCCTTCCTGACCCAAGGTACTACCTGAAGAACAACATGGATACGGAGACGTTGTGTTCAGACGATGACGCCCAGGAGCTGCTGAAGGAGAGTCATATCACCCTGCTCCAGCTCAGCACCGTGGAGGTGTGTGTGTGTGTGTGTGTGTGTGTGTGTGTGTGTGTGTGTGTGTGTTTGGTGTATGAATGTGTGTGTATTTGTGTGTTTAACTGAGGGGTTGAAGACCGTACAGCAGAAGACACATTCCCATCGCGTATGCATTAATAAGGTCTTCTTCTTGTTCTTCAGGTGGCCGCCCAGCTCTCCATGAGGGACTTTGAGCTGTTCCGTAACATCGAGTCCACTGAGTACGTGGACGACCTCTTCAAGCTGCTGGACTCCTCGGGGGGAGTCCAACAGACACGCCTCAAGCAGTTTGAGGAGGTCATCAACCAGGAGACCTTCTGGGTCGCCACAGAGATCCTGAGGGAGCCCAACGCCATGAAGAGGATGAAGACCATCAAACACTTCATTAAGATCGCTCTGAACTGTAGAGAGTGCAAGAACTTCAACTCCATGTTCGCCATCATCAGGTGGGTTAGTTGTGGGGGGGGTGTATCCTGGCTTCTGTGTGTGTTTATCCTGGCTTCTGTGGTGGTTACCAGATCCCTTCCTCCCAAGACAACACTCCCTGTTCTGTCCTCTATCTGTTCCCATTCTAAGAAGTTCATTGCATCAGCGTGCCAACAATCCTATATCTGTCCCTACGACTTATTGCCTGTCAATTGAGTCCCAAAACAGTTATTACATGTATGGTTTGTTATGTTGTTAACTCTGCCTTCTATGGTTTGGCTACATTGAGCTTCTGTTGTCCGCTGTGCTACTACTTTGACATAAATCTTCAGGGAGCTGTAGTGTGTGTGAGGCGGGGGATGACCTCGGCTCATTGAGAGCTTCCTGACAATGGGAGTCTGGTTAGGCTCATTGTGGTCTCCTCACTCAGCCATGGAACGGTCTGGCTGCCGGAGCGCGTGCTTGCCTGTGTGTTTGTGTGTGTGCCTGACTCTGCATGGGTGAGTGTCTATATGCATCTGTGTTGCGTGTGTGTGTTCCCTACTGTCTGCGTCATCCAATGTGTAATGAGGCTCTCACTTCAGGGCAGAGGACAATGAGGAGGCTCATTCTAGAGCAGCGCTGCCAGGTCTGTCAGGGGAGGGAGGGAGGGAGGGGAGAGGGAGGGAGGGAGAGGGGGGTACGGGAGGGAGAGGGTTGTAAGGGAGGGGGAGAGGGTGTAAGGGAGGGAGGGGGGAGATGTGGGTAAGGGGGGGAGATGGGAGGGAGGGGGGTGAGGGGGAGATGTGGGTGAGGGGGGAGATGGGGGATAAGGGAGGGAGGGGGAGATGGGGGGTAAGGGAGGGAGGGAGGTGGGAGATGGGGGGTAAGGGAGGGAGGGGGGTGAGGGGGAGATGGGGGTAAGGGAGGGAGGGGGGAGATGGGGGTAAGGGAGGGAGGGAGGCGGGAGATGGGGGGGTAAGGGAGGGAGGGGGGTGAGGGGGAGATGGGGGGGGGGGGGGGGTTGGGGGGGTAAGGGAGGGAGGGGGGAGATGGGGGGGGTAAGGGAGGGAGTGGGAAGATGGGGAGAAAAGAGGAAACGCCAGTCATAATTAGCAGGTCTCTAAATGAATCTGCTCTGAGGTCACAAAGCAACAGGACCTCATTGAGGAAGTGAGAAAACAAACACTGAAGATGCATGAAGGTTTTTGGATTGCTTGTTTTGTTGTGAGCGAATGAGTGATAGGCTTGGGCAGTATACTAAATATACCATATACCGGGGTATTTTGAAATACCGATTGTATGATTTTCAGTACTGTAAAAACAAAATTATATATATTAAAAACAAAATGCCGGGGGCGTGCTACGCCACTACTAATAACTAACTATAAGTTAACTGTCTAAGATGTGCCAAATCAATTATCCCCAGCTCAGGGCTCAAGCTATGCATTTGGTTTGCTAACTTTCTAGCTAAGTGGCTAGCTTGCAAGATCAAGCTTCTTGGTTTCAGCAGAGACTATCAATCCACCCCCCTAGATCAAGATTCCTGCTGCCTAAAGTTGTTTTGTGCGTAAAGAAATAAAACGTTTGGAAAGAAATAGCGCCCCTTGTGTGCACTGCCGGTAAATATTTATTAAACCTTTATTTTGACAGGGAGTCAATGCTGAGACCAAGGTCTCTTTTCCAGATGAGCCCTGTATAGCACAACAATACAATATACACATTAAACTACACATCCATATACACATTAAAATACACGTTATTATACACAACAATACAATAAACACATTAAACTACACATCCATATACACATTAAAATACACGTTATTATACACAACAATACAATAAACACATTAAACTACACATCCATATACACATTAAAATACACGTTATTATACACAACAATACAATAAACACATTAAACTACACATCCATATACACATTAAAATACACGTTATTATACACAACAATACAATAAACACATTAAACTACACATCCATATACACATTAAAATACACGTTATTATACACAACAATACACGAAGAGGCACCAATTCCTTCAATTTGAAAGTGCATTGTAGATCATTCCACACGTAAGGTGCAAAACAATTAAAAGCAGATCTACCCAACTCAGTGGAGATGGAAAAGATCTCCAGAGTTGGCCATCCCTGAGCCCAGGTCCGGTAGCCATACATCTATAGGCTAACAATATGGTAAGGTATGGCAGAAATGTATGCAATAAGGCTTTATACTCCAGGATGGTACAGGAACGGCATTAAGGTATGAAAATCTGGAAACCGCCCAACCCTAGTGAGTGAATATGTGTGTACGTTCAAGAAAAAGAGTACTCCTCAATTATGATAAGGCGCATCATCCCCTAAGTGGTACACATTGCTTTCAGCTTTCACTTCTGTATTCCCTGAAGTGTGTCCCTGTACTGTGTGCTGTGTCTGAGTGCTGGCCTGGGCAGTGGAGTGGAGTGGTCATCTGTCCAGCTAGCCCCACTTCACCACTCCTCTCCCATTCAGCTCGGAGCGGACTCACCTTTTCCTAGCCTCTGTGTCTGTGGGTGTCTCAATACTCATGTGGTTTCCTTTCCTTGCGTCCTCTCCTTCATCTGCATTGATGTGAAAAGACTGAGAGGGTAAGAGGATGAGGGTGAGGTCTAATAGTGGGCTGCCTCTCGTTTGTCCACTTCCTTTAGATAATTGTGAATGAAGGAAAGTAGACCAGGGCAGAAAACCACTAGATAAAGGAAAGGTTACAAGAATTGGAAGCCACTGAAGGAGAGTTTTGAACCCTAACCAATCTCTCTAGCGTGTCCTCTCCAGGGTGTACATCAAGCTGCCTCACGCTCACGCTACAGAAACAGGAGATGGGTTGTTGCCCAAAGGCCATTCTAGCTTGGACAAAGCTTACCGACCTTACCATCTCTCCTCTATAGAAGTGGTCTGAACCCTAACCGCTGACCTCTCCTCCTTGTCTCCTCCCGTACAGTGGTCTGAACCCTAACCCCTGACCTCTCCTCCTTGTCTCCTCCCATACAGTGGTCTGAATCTGGCTCCAATAGCTCGTCTCAGGTCATCGTGGGAGAAGCTGCCCAGTAAGTACGACAAGCTGTTCCGCGACCTGCAGGACATCTTCGACCCGTCCAGGAACATGGCCAAGTACCGCAACGTCCTGAGCAGCCAGAGCATGCAGCCGCCCATTATCCCCCTGTTCCCCGTCGTCAAGAAGGACCTCACCTTCCTACATGAAGGTATGGATGCCTTTCTCAGTGCCCACCTAAAATGCATTCCTCTTGTCCATTTGTAAACCATATCTGATTAACTTATTGGTCACGCTTTACTTGGATAGTCCCATAAAGATGATCTACAGATGGTCATACTATTAACATACTTTAATCTGTTGATAAGCAACTGCTTGCTAAGGTTAGGGTTAGAATAAGGGTTAGGTTCGGGCTAGGGTAATACAGGTGAAGATTAGGGTTAGGATTAGTAGAAAGTTGGTAGAAATATTGTTGACAGTTATTGAACATCTACTGAACATCTATAAACCATCTACTTTGGACTATCCAAATAGTGTTACCAATTTATTTAACCTTTATTTATACATGCTTGTCTGATTTAAGATTTTAATCAAACAATTTTGCAAGAGCGACCTGTCACAATGATTACGGCCATTGTTTTTGACGGAAACATCATGTTGAATTTTCATGTTGAGTTCTTAGCTAGATAAAGTCCAGTGTTTTTAAATCTAGAATGTTGCACCTTCCACCAGTATACTCTTATTGGTATATACTGTACTAGCCTATATACAGTCAATCATGCCTATCTCAGGCGCTCATTAGACAAATAACTATTCTTATGTCCATTAGCTGCATTAGCATTTCACAGACTTGCTGTTTAAGATGGAAAAAGCTTTCATACCATATTGGGGTTATTGACATGTTGTTTCCGGGTGGTTTCCATATGGGTCTGGGTTTTCCACTTCCCCTGGCTCAGCTGAAACAGAGGTCACTCTCAAGCTTGCTCAGGTGGTTTCACTTCTGCTTCCCTTTCTGCTTATACAACCACAGACATTTCTGTATTATGCTAAGTTAAAAAGTCAAAAAATTGCATAGTACTAAAACAGAGAACAGATCATTTGGTGATTGGGACGACAGATGGAAGACTCACCGCACATTAATGACATTTATTGTAATTTCCTCATTAGTGTGTTCATCATTATCTCCTCACAGTGAGATGTGTTGCACAGGCCAGGGAACCCATTGTTATCACATGGTGTTAGCAGAAGTTTAGATGATGCATGATAATGTGAGAAGTAAATCAATCACTCCCATCTAAAGTGAAAAGCTGTGAGAACACATCAACAGCTCCACGTTAAGTGACACACTCCCTTCTGGTTCAAAAACCAGCACTCGGCTCTTAAATGCAGCCCAATTAAACAGTCTGAAAAAAGGAAGATATCATTTGTGTTTGAGAGTTCACCTGTTTAGAGTGGTTACATATCTCCAGCCCCATCCCTCAGATATTTACCAAAACAAGTGACGGGGTGACCACTTTGTTGTTTTTCGAAACCCAGATTGCCCATTTAAGGAAGTGGAAGAAAAGCTCTCTGACTGTTTTCCCCACAGGTAATGACTCTAAAGTAGACGGTCTGGTGAACTTTGAGAAGCTGAGGATGATCGCCAAGGAGATCCGTCACGTGGTCCGTATGACCTCCGCCAACATGGACCCAGCTCTCATGTTCCGACAGAGGTGGGTGCTCTCTCCCCTGGCCACATTTACTGATCTAGGATCAGTTTAGCCTTTTAGATCATATTGAATAAGATTACATGGACTTGGGGGACCTGATCCTAGATCAGCACTCCTACTCTGAGACGCTTTATGAGTACGGGCCCCTCTCCCAATCCTACCCTTAACCATTAGGGGGATGAAATAATAGCTGATCCGGTATCAGTGGTTAGAGGTGTCATCTGCCTACTCTCCGCCCCCTGTATTACCCAGTGTGTCCTAAACTCCAGCCTGTCACAGACAGTGCATGCCTGCCCCCTTCAGGCTACCTCCACACCAAGCAGCACCAGTGTCCCCCTATACAGTGCATTCGGAAAGCATTCAGACCCCTTGACCGTTTCCACATTTTGTTACGGTACAGCCTTATTCTAAAATTGATTTTTTTTTTTTGAATCCTCATCAATCTACACACAATACCCCATAATGACAAAGCAAAAACAGGTTAAGACATTTTTGCAAATGTATACTTCAAATCACATTTACGTAAGTATTCAGACCCATTACTCAGTACTTTGTTGAAGCACCTTTGGCAGCGATTACAGCCTTGAGTCTCCTTGGGAATGACGCCACAAGCTTGGCACACCTGTATTTGGGGAGTTTCTCCCATTCTTCTCTGCAGATCCTCTCAAGCTCTGTCAGGTTGGATGGGGAGCGTCGCTGCACAGCAAATTTCAAGTCTCCAGAGATGTTTGATCGGGTTCAAGTCTGGGCTCTGGCTGGGCCACTCAAGGACATTCAGAGATGTGTCCCGAAGCCACTCCTGTGTTGTCTTGGCTGTGTGCTTAGGGTCGTTGTCCTGTTGGAAGGTGAACCTTCACCCCAGTCTGAGGTCCTGAGTGCTCTGGAGCAGGTTTTTATCAAGGATCTCTCTGTACTTTGCTCCGTTCATCTTTCCCTCGATCCTGACTAGTCTCCCAGTCCCTGCCGCTGAAAAACATCCCCACAGCATGATGCTGCCACCACCCTGCTTCACCGTAGGGATGTTGCCATGTTTTCTCCAGACGTGACGCTTGGCATTCAGGCCAAAGAGTTCAGTCTTGGTTTCATCAGACCAGAGAATCTTGTTTCTCATGGTCTGAGTCCTTTAGGTGCCTTTTGGCAAACTCCAAGCGGGCTGTCATGTGCCTTTTTACTGAGGAGTGGCTTCCGTCTGGGTGCTACCATAAAGGCCTGATTGGTGGAGTGCTGCAGAGATGGTTGTCCTTCTGGAAGGTTCTCCCATCTCCACAGAGGAACTCTGGAGCTCTGTCAGAATGACCATAGGGTTCTTGGTCACCTCCCTGACCAAGGCCCTTCTCCCCCGATTGCTCAGTTTGGCCGAGCAGCCAGCTCTAGGAAGAGTCTTGGTGGTTCCAAACTTCTTCCATTTAAGAATGATGGAGGCCACTGTGTTCTTTGGGACCTTCAATGCTGCAGAAATATTTTATGTACGCTTCCCCAGATCTGTGCCTCAACACAATCATGTCTCAGAGCTCATAAGGTCAATTCCTTCGACCTCATGGCTTGGTTTTGCTCTGACATGCACTGTCAACTGTGGGACCTTATATAGACAGGTGTGTGCCTTTCCAAATCATGTCCAATCAATTGAATTCACTACAGATGGACTCCAATCAAGATGTAGAAACATCTCAAGGATGATCAATGGAAACAGGATGCACCTGAGCTCAATTTCGAGTCTCATAGCAAAGGGTCTGAAAACGTATGTAAATAAGCTATATAAAAAATATATTTTTTATACATTTGCTAAACTTTCTAGAAACCTGTTTTCGCTTTGTCATTATTGGGTATTGTGTGTAGATTGATGAGGTAAAAAAAAGTATTTTATCAATTTTAGAATAAGGCTGTAATGTAACAGCAGTTGATATAGGGAATCTGGAGAGTTCCCGTGTCTGTCCCCATGCTCTGACCCCATCTCCTGCTGTGGTCACTGTGCCTCTGTCCTTCCTTGACTGTACTGTCTCTTTAAGCCACGTTGCTTCAATGTCATTGGGTCTTGCTTGCAGGAAGAAGAGGTGGAAGAGTTTAGGGTAAGTCCCCTGGTAATAGTCCAGCCATCCAGTCACCATGCACCCCCCACCCCTCCCCACCCCCAGCCATCCAGTCACCATGCACCCCCCCCCCCACGTGGCCAGCGCCCTCCCAAACCGCATGCCCCCTATATGTACCATTCAGTCCCTAACCCTTTCATTCACATTGTGTGTGCATCCTGCCATTTTTGATTTTTATTCATTTCATTTTCTAACCCTTTTTGACTGTCTTCATCAAACAGAATGTTATTTATTTACCCATGTTTAAGCATGGTGCATCAGCGAGAGAAAACCTTGTTGCATGGTTGTGTTATAACCTGCTATGCTCCAATGCTCTGTATACAGTCATCAGCAGAAAAAAAAGCTGGAAAACTGAATGATGTTTAGTGACCTGCCCATCAGTTATAAAGTGTTCTCTCTGAATCTCCAGAGTGTATGCGACAGTGACCGTTTAACAAGATAGTACTAGTTTTGATACTGAGAGGCTGCATGATGACCATAACCTGCAGCATGTCTGTTAGGTGCCTCCACTGGAGTCCTGGAGAACTGACCCGTCTCCCTCCCTCCCTCCCTCTCTTATTCCCTCCATTCTTCACTTCATCCCACCTTCAATTATGCCATCCCTCCCTCCATTCCTCACTCCATCCACTTCTCCTCTCCTCCCTCCAACCTCCTTTCTCCCTCCATCTTTCCATCCCTGTCTCTCCAGGTCTCTGAGTCAGGGCAGCACCAACTCCAACATGTTGGACGTGCAGGGCGGGGCCCATAAGAAGCGTGTGCGTCGCAGCTCGCTGCTCAACGCTAAGAAGCTCTACGAGGACGCTCAGATGGCCCGTAAGGTCAAGCAGTACCTGTCCAACCTGGCGGTGGAGACTGACGAGGAGAAACACCAGATCATGTCTCTACAGTGTGAGCCTGTATACAGCACCTGTGAGTCTACACCTTAACTACAATGTTGGTGCCCAAATGCAACACCGCATGACACTTATAATCACCTAAAATCACTTAGAAACTCCAAGTGTTACTAGGCTATGTCACCCCCTTGTAATCACTGGCTGTGGCAGGATCGGATGTTCTCTCAACTCTGATGCTCCCAGCCTCCCACAGAGCTCTATTCTCACAGAACTGAAGGTTGTTTTAGTCTCCTACACTTAAAATGTAAAATGTTTGAGGGTTTGTCTAATCTCTCCGCAGTAATTATCAAACGCCCACTTTAGTAATAATTTCAGGGGAGAGACCTGTGGGACAACATTTCCTCAATTCACTTGGAATAAAGTTGTGTTATTCACTTGAGCGTTTGACAGGTATGGGGATTTTACTTGCCCTACACTGCCACCTAGTGGGCCTCAGATATGTCACAGTTGAGAAGAACATTCTGCATTGCCATATTGAGAGAAGAGGAGTTATGCCTTGTTGTTTAGAAATGAATCAAGTGATGTAGTAAAATTATTGATATTCCCACAAATAAATGTATTTCATACAATATACCAATTTCATAAATCTTCCTACAAATTGGTAAGATATATTTCAATTTCCTGTCTGTGAGTACCTTGTTATCTTAGCTTCTTAATTTTCCTCTCTCTCTGTTTACTATATTTACACTCTGAAGTAACTAATCTCCTGGTCAGGCCATTTATAGCGCTGCTGTTTCTGTTATTACTGTCTTTCTGCACGGGAACATAATAATCTTGCAATGCCTGGTGCAAGATTAATTATTTCCTGTTTCGATGACTGCAGTGTCCAAGAACCTGAGCGAGCGACGGTCCACCAAGTCAGACATTTCTCCTGTGTCGCTGCGCTCGGCGCTGCCCGGGGGGAAGGCCCAGAACCGCGTATCCCAGGTGCTACAGGTCCAAGTACCCCTATACCCCCAACGGAGGAAGAGCACCGCCAAGGACATTCACGCCGCACACAGTGAGTCACTCTTCTAGGGTTGCTATAATACCTTATGCCTTTCACAACATTCCCAGGTTTTCCAGAAATCCAGTTTGGAAGATCCTCAGGATCAGGATGGAATAAGCAGGAAATCCGGAATCTTCCAACCAGGATTTCAGGAAAAGCTGGGAATTTGTGAAAAGTTACCTGAATTTTACCTTCATCCCAGGGCTTTGTGCGGGGTTGGGTTAAAAAGCGGAAGACACATTTCGATTGAATGCATTCAGTTGTGCAACTGACTAGGTATCCTTTTTTATTTATTTATTTCAAGTCATTCTCCACTGCCTAGCAAATATGGCTGTGGCGGTTGTGAAGTTTTGTCAGCCAGTGATTGTCATGCAAATAATTTCCGGTCTCACGGTAATTGACCAGACATTAACATAAACACATTTAGTATCTCCTGGCTTCCACGCATAGCCTACAAGCCACTGATGCAGACTGTTGGAACATCTACATCAAAATAAATCCATTACCGGTATTTATTTTAGACAGGTCTAAAGAAACATAATATGAAGAAAATGAAGCCTATTTCAGAAGAACAGAATAACATATTCTGAGTCCTTATGTTCGGTCCTGATCTGGCAATGCCATATGGCTGTGGGCTACATTAGTTAATTTAGAAGACAAGATTTGCTTAGAATTCCGTGGCATTATTTTATAGTATAAAGAATACAATTGAACAAAGCTGAATAAAATAGAAAGGATATTTTCTACAAATGATTTCTGAGGGAGTGCGCACATGCGGCTATTCTGTGTTGACTGGTTAACAAAGAAACAGGTCCTCCTATATGCATAATTTAGAGTTATTTATGAAACTTAAGTTGTGATACAAACGTTAGGCTGCGTGATGCGACTCTAATGATGATTTGAAAAAAGTCACATGAAAGGCATGAGCTCTGCTTTGTTTCTTGCGCAGGCTGCACACACTTTATCAGTCTCTCATTGACAATTTGACAAGCACTTGATTATATTCTCATCCATCAGACTATTCTTAATTTAATCTGGTTTTTACATATAGCCTATGCGTGAAATACTTTTTTATTTAGTATGGCCCACAAGAAAAACATCATCCGTAGCCTGCACTCGAATAGTGAATGGAGGTTAGGTGCTGTTACGTTTTTAATTGCAAGCATAGGCAGCACATCCATAAGGCTAAGGGAAGCTTTTCCTAAAGTAAACTGAATTAAATAGCCAAAATTATATAGCTTAATTAGCCTACTCCGGTCTATACATAAATAAATAAAATAATTCAAAATAGGCTATTAAAGCATGGTTTGACCGCAGAGGATCATTAGCTTCTTTTTTTATTTTTATGTTTTTTATTGTTTTAAATCGCATTGCCTACAGTTGGAAGGAAAGGCAGCGAGTTCAATTTGGGCAGATTATTGTGACTGTCTGTGAAAAGTAGAGGCCAAGCCAGGCATATCACAATATTTCAAAATACAATCACAGGAAAACATAGTTTGGAAAGCAAATGGTTATTTTAGTTATCAAAATTCTCAATTTAATTGAGCGGACAACGGTATAGCCTATCTTATTGGCATCGGCAATATCCCCACTGATTGCGCACTGCGCATATTCATTATTTATCATTGTTGAGTCAGTGCTACTTAAAAGTTAGTGTTTTGACCATTTCCTGCTTCAGTTTAGATGGACGTCATATTCTATTTGTGTCTCCCCTTCTCGTAGGCCTATTATATGGACAGCATTGTTTTTATTGATCTGTTTGTCAGTGTCAGCAGAGTAGGCTAACCTGTAATTTGTCTTATTTTATTTTTTAATGATTCTGCTAATGTCTCCAGTCATATAAAGTGTAGTAGAATTGCATGAAATGTGTTTATAAAAGGCCACACTTTTCCCATGCAAAGAAAGAAGAAACGTATCTGATATAGCCTAGGCCTACTCTATGCTATACGCTCTCAGCCATGGATTGAACTGACTTTTTTTGCGAACAGTGTTTGAGTTATATTATTAGACTTAATTATGACTATCCAATCTACTCATCATATTACGAATAGTAGGCTATCTTACATAAGTCTGCAAATGCCATGATGCATGGAATGCTTTATTATAAAAGTGCATTTTATGGTGAAAATTAGCTAGCTTCCCCAAACTTGAAACTTTCGTGCCACCTATGAATGCCAGCTAGGCTAGCCCGGTTGTAAAGGGGATTCATGTGCTTAATTTTAAGAATAGAGCATTAAATATAGCAGCACGAGAAAGCTGGGATCCTCTTTTAAATAGTGGCCAGTCAAAACTCTATTTTCACACGCGACTGCGCAATGACTGGGCTTATAAGAACACGTTTCACTTGTCTCTGTAGGCTATGTGCTCTCTAACCGTGTTCCAGGAGTCCTACGCCCATAGGCTACGTTTGGAGTTACTTGTCCACTTTAGTTGTGATACAAACCTTATCAAAACATATAGGCTTATAGGCTACATGAGGTGTGCGACTATGATTAGAAAAAGTAGAGTGAAAAAGGGGCATTGTTTCTTGACTTACTGCACATTCTGGGCATCATTCACAAGTGATAATATATCATTCACAAGTGATAATATTGTCACCCATCAGACTATTCTTGATTTAATCTTGGCTTTACATATACTAAATAATATTTGGGTGAAATTTGTTTTGATTTAGAATGGACCATTATCATGCACCTGTCTCGGAACAGGGGCAGGGGACATGTCATCTATGCACTTAAATAGCGAATGGAGGATGCTTTTCCCGTGGTTCATTTTCATGCCAGCCAGGTAGGCTATACACCTGTTGTATAGCGAAGCAATGTGCTTAATATTAGGAAAGTTGAGAAATAAATATAGTAGGCCTAGCCTATAGAAAGCTGATGGGATCCTCCTGTTTTTAATAGAGGCCATCAAAACTCAGTTTTTTCACGCAATTGCATAGCCTATAGAAATGTTGCCCAGCATGAGCTCATAGCCTCTCATGAAGTGTTTGATTTGATTTTCAATTGCATTTGCATTGATGTCAGAGTGATTAGAGGGACAATAGATCGCGGAGTACCAGGCCATTAGCGACTGGCAGTTAGCGAGTTAGGTAGGCTACTAACGACTGTCAGCAGCATCAGAGCGCAGTTTTGGAGAAGCCTAGTTACCGTGATAAACGGTTACATGGAATTTGACTGCTGTCATGACTTGTGACCGCAGGTGAGGCGGTAATACAGTCACTGTAACTAGCAAATGAATTGTTAGTTACAGTATACTGACAATATATTGGTTCCTAGAAATAGCACCAGAAGATATGGGATACAATTCAAGGACAATCGAGTTCGACTACAGTATTTCTTTGTCAATGTAAACATGTTGCATATTAGTGAGTTTATTTATAGTGAGTCAATGTTAAATATGAGATTGTGATGTCTTGTGGGTGATCTTGGGGCGGCAGGTAGCTTAGTGGGTAAGAGCGTTGTGCCAGTAACCAAAAAGGTCGCTGGTTCTAATCCCCGAGCCGACTAGGTGAAAAATCTGTCGATGTGCCCTTAAGCAAGGCACTTAACCCTAATTGCTCATGTAAGTCGCTCTGGATAAGAGCGTCTGCTAAAAATGACTAAAAAAATCTTTTTTTTGTTAACCTTTATTTATCCAGGAAGTCCCATTGAGGTCAGAAGACCTCTTTTACAAGGGAGACGTGGCCAAATTGATAATATTCTGTAGTAAAATAATGGTGCTACTCCCGCTGTATGGTTCACTTTCCACGCAGTGTATGTCCCTGTCTGTCCCAGACTCCAACAGTGTATATCTCTGTCTCTCTCCCCTTCCCAGACTCCAGCTCTCCCCAGGTGATAAAGAAGCCTCCCAGCTCCCAGCTCAGCCAATCAGAGGACAGTCCCTGGAGTGGGAAGAGGTCTGCTGAAGACACCGTGTCTATCGTGTCCTCCCTGCACTCCAGCCCCACCATCTCGCCACAGGGCTCCCCGCGCAAAGGTCTACATCCTGGTTACTGCATATTACATTACCTACCGCTTAAAACATTACCATCCTGGCTACCAAGGTTGGGGTCAATTCCATTTCAATTTCAGTCAATCCAGGAAGTACACTGATTCCAATTCTCTTCAGTGATTTTCAATTAGGAACATTTGGAGTTTGGTTTACTTGCTGAATTGACTAGAATTTAAATAGCATTGACCCCAGCCCTGCTGGCTACTGCACATTACATTACAACTTACATTATTACCTACATCCTGGGTACTTCACATTACTGCAACGCTTTCATCCTGGCTACTGCACATTACCTCTCACATCAGCATCTACTCAAATCCATTCATTCATCTCACAACTAAACAGAACCCATCTCATACCCATACCTCAAGGTTTGTACCTCACAGAACGCACCCTCTGTATCAGCACCTCAAAACCAACATCCCTCACACCCACAATACATACACATACATACACATGGGGCGGCGCACAATTGGCCCAGCGTCGTCCAGGGTAGGGGAGGGAATGGCCGGCAGGGATGTAGCTCAGTTGGTAGAGCATGGCGTTTGCAACGCCAGGGTTGTGGGTTCGATTCCCACGGGGGGGCCAGTATGATTAAAACATATATATATATATATAATAATGTATGCACTCACTGACTGTAAGTCGCTCTGGATAAGAGCGTCTGCTAAATTACTAAAAATGTAAATGTAAAATACACTGCCCATACACTCAAGCGTCTTGCTGAAGTCATTTCCCCTCATCTCACCTATCCATACTTTAAGTTAGTGTAATCTTAACCATCAAGCTCCTCAATCATTCTCCCTGTCTCTCCTGTTTGTCTACAGTGGGTGGCGTGGCCAAGCCCCAGCATAACGCCAACAGCCAGATGAACATGTCTGGCTCGTCGTCCTCTCTGACCAGCGAGGCCAGCACCAAGGCAGGCACGGCAGGCACCCGCAGCTACGGCATAGGTGGGGCTCTCCTCCACAAGAGGTTCCTGCAGATGACCAGGCAGCACAGCAGAGACAGGGAAGAGGACAGGGACAGAGAGATGGAGGTGGAGGTGGAGGTGGAGACAGAGCAGGCAGTGCTATGGAGATGGAGCTCCCCAGGCCCCCAGGCAGGTGCAGCGTTCAGCCCCAGGTCAGGGAGGATGAGCCCTCTCAGGGCTCCACTCCACTCCGGGCTCCATGGAGACCCAGGAGCAGGGGCCGCAAAGGCCACCAGGCGAGGGACGCCCGCTCCCCAGACAGAGACCCAAAAAGGGCCAGAGCCAGCGGTTGTAACCCCACCTAGGCCCAAACCTCCAGATTCTCCCTTGAGGAAGAGGTTGAGGGAGCTTTCCCCATTCAGGATGCTGAGGGAGAGGGGTCAGTCTAGGGAGAAGTTGGCTGCATTGGTGGTAGTTAGGCCACCAGTGGAGGATCAGGGGCAGACAGGGTCCTCTGAGGCCCAGGAGGGTAGCCCAGGACAGGGGCGGACTGAGCAGGCTAAAGGTCAGGCAAGGAGGTCAGCCAGCTCCAGCAGGGCCTTTGCTTGGCTCTGCAAAGTCAAACACAAGAGGAGAAAAACTATCTGACAGACAGACTGAGAAAGTACTACAATACTCCCTGTGAAGAATAATGAACACAAGTTGGCTTAGAGGACGAGACAATCTGATAGACTGAGAAAGTACATTGTGTGAAGTGAACTGAGGAAATATTCTGAGTTTTCAGCAGGTCATTGAAAGATATTTTAGTGAATGTGTTGATGTACTGTATCGTACATGTTGGTTATGGTTCAGTTCAAGTTGATCTACAACAATGTGACAACCTATGCATCATAAAAAAAATATGCAGTACGATCTTCAGGTTTAATAATTTGTTACTTCAAAATTTACCAAAATTCACTATTACAATATTGAATAACCGATTCTTAGCTGCTGGACTGTATTTATTACATTCACAAGATAAAAAAGTATTAGGGTAAGTATGTTGTGTTAGACTTCACAGGTCAACAGCAATGTTATAATAAAGGAGCATCCATTTTCTACTGTTTTAATGTTGATTATTTGTTTTTTACAGATGTTATTAATGGAGAGGAGTGAAACACTGGAAATGTATGAGATGTTGTAAACGTTTCTCTCTCTTTTTTACAGGATTTAATAAAACAATTTCATAAAACTAGCCTGGATCAGTGTTGGACATGCTGCTGGCCTGCCTATGTAGTTAGCCTGTAGTTAAGTTTAGCGTGTCCGATCTAGGTTGTTACAGGCTGTGTGTGGATGAACACTACTCCAGGCTGATCATCTCCTCCTCCCTCCCCCAGGCTATGCCCTGATGCCTGCAGGGAAATCAGACAACCTGTCCGACTCGAGCCATAGTGAGATCTCGTCCCGCTCCAGCATCGTCAGTAACTGCTCTGTGGACTCCATGCCTGCTGGCCCTGTAGAGGAGCGCCAAGGCATCAAGACCAGGGATACCACCGAGACCCCAGGCACCACCACGCAGCTCACACACACCAACTCTGACTGCAGCCAGCCCAGCACCAGGTAATACACATAGTATTAGACTCACTCACACACACAAACGTTTTGTTCTTCTATCCTCATGGGGACCTAAAATGTATTTCTATTCAAAATATTTTTTTCCCCTAACCTTAAACCTAACCTGTAACCCTAAACCTAACTCCTAACAACTAACCCCTTTCCCTAACCCTAATTGTAACCTAACCCTAAACCTAACCCCTAAGCTTAAAATAGCTTTGTCCTCATTGGGATGTGGGAAATGTCCCCACGAGGGAGAATTTTCCTTGTTTTACTATCCTTGTGGGGACTTTTGGGGATTTTAGGTCCCCACAAGGATAAAAGAACCAACACACGCACTCACTCACTCTCTCTCTCACACACACACACACACACAAATAATAGTCCTCCTCAAAGGAGTTCCAATAAGGGTTTCCAATAATGTCCTTGTTCAAACACTGTGAACAGGAACTCATAAAGGGTCCACTGTTTATCAGCGTTACATGTTTACTCTCTGTCCCATATTAACTGTGTTGCTCATTTTATGTGGACAGTTTTTAATTCCAACAAGTAAACAACCGCCTATTGTCCCTCCATGATGAGGCCTCCCTGACATAAATACAATAAATAAATAATTTACTTCTTGATCACACTCTCCTTTTGTGTAATATTTTATTACCTGGGAACCTGCTGCGGCATTGGAGTCGGTTCATTAAATATATTTTATTTCAACTCCTGGTACACTTCGTAATAAACATTTCAGTGAATGAAACAGTGTCTGGTTAATGAAAGAAAGGAGAGGAGCATAACTTTACTCTATGGTGGGTACAGTGATAAATCCTAGAGACACTTTGGGCGAGGGAGGAGCCAACAGGACGTATTAAACAGGAATCGTTCACCTTGTTGCTTTGTCCTCCAAGGTGAGAGGAAATTAACTCTTGTTTACTTTTTGATTGTCTCTTTCTCTGTTTCACTGTTTCCTTCTCTCTCCTGGTCAGTTGATGCTCCTTCTCTGTTTCACTGTTTCCTTCTCTCTCCTGGTCAGTTGATGCTCCTTCTCTGTTTCACTGTTTCCTTCTCTCTCCTGGTCAGTTGATGCTCCTTCTCTGTTTTAACTGTTTCCTTCTCTCTCCTGGTCAGTTGATGGTTCTTCTGTTTCATAGTGTTTCATTCTCTCTCCTGGTCAGTTGATGGTTCTTCTCTGTTTCATAGTGTTTCCTTCTCTCTCCTGGTCAGTTGATGGTTCTTCTCTGTTTCATAGTGTTTCCTTCTCTCTCCTCCTGGTCAGTTCGTTGGCGCGGGGCCAGGTGATGCGGGGTTCCACCTTCACCTCCTCCACCTCCACAGAGGAGCTGACCCCCGACCACATCTCCCTGGACAGTGTGGCTGACAGTGGGCGGGGCAGCTGGACCTCCTGCTCCTCCAACTCCCACGACAGCTTCCAGAGCCTGCCTGTCCCCCTGCTGGGCCTGGGGCTAGGGCGACCCCCCGCCTGGGACCACCTAATGCCTGGGGGCTTCCGCCACACCCAGCTGGCAGGGCCTATAGTGGAGGTGGAGGCTGGGCCGGCCTTGGCGGGGGTAGCAGGAGGACCGGGGGCGGGGTCCGGGGGAGGAGAGGATGCCAAGAGGCTCTCCAGAGACAGTTCAGAGCTAAACCAATCACGGCAGAGCTGGGCCTCATCCTCCTCGCTGTCGGACACCTACGAGGGGAACTACGGCACCATCAAACGCCGCACTGCCGAAGGCGTCTCCGCCGCCCATGGGGAGGGCCCCGACTCACCCCAAAGCACAGATCCCGTCTACAAAATGGTCACTTCAAGCACAGAGAAAGGCCTCATAGGTGAGGGTCTTCTGTGTGTCTCTCCTATCAGCTCTACTGTGGTGTTGTGCTAGAGTGTAACTGTGAACCCAACTTGTGACGTGCTATGTGTAGATGGGTGTGGTGTGTGTGTGGAGGAATGACAAAAGCAGATAATTTTGTTTTTATAAAACTTCCTATGGCTTTGGATGCACTTGCTGTGCCTGGCCACCAGTCTCAAATCCAGCTGTGGCACAAAAGGCTTCTGTTTTTTCACTAATGCTGCGTGAGACTGTCATTGGAAGTGCAGTACAGTGGGGTCCCCTGCTTGTGCTTCTGCTACATGCACAGCTGTACTATTACTCGCTCACATACTTAATTCTTCAGCTGGTCCACTTATCTAACCTGTCAATCAGGCTTTTCCTGTTTCATTCATCTTCTGGTAATGCAGCAGAGACTGTGTTTTGGTAATGGAGCAGAGCATAGAACAGAGATAATGGATGGGTCCCAAATCACACCCTATTCCCTATATAGTGCACTACTTTTGACCAGGGTTCCCTATATAGTGCACTACTTTTGACCAGGGTTCCCTATATAGTGCACTACTTTTGACCAGGGTTCCCTATATAGTGCACTACTTTTGACCAGGGTTCCCTATATAGTGCACTACTTTTAACCAGAGCCCACTTGGGACGAAGCCTGGATGGACAGAAGGATTAAAAAGAGGAGTGCAGTATTGTCTCACCCGCCACGCCTGAGTATCTCTTTATTTGAGTGGTTTAGCAGCTACATGGTGGTGGTGAAACATCTCATTGATTTATTTTCTCCATTTTTGTTTCTTTTCTCCCTCTTTCCCTCCCTCCCCCACACCTCCCCCATTCATCCTCCTTCACACCCCCTCCTGTCTCCTCCCCCATTCCCGGCGGCCAGTGTACTGTGTAACCTCCCCCACCAAGGACGATAGGTACAGGGGGCCTCCCCCGACCCCTCCGGGATACCAGGGCCTCACCCTGGTCGATGGACAGGATGGAGCTCCCCCCCGGCCTCCCAACTTGAAGCCGCCTGACTATAGCGTGGCCCTGCAGAGGTCTAAGCTGCTACAGAGCCCCGGAGGCCTGGTGGAGGCCCGGAGACTGGGGGTGAACCACCACCACGAGTCCCAGGGCCAGTCCAGGCCAGCCAGCGTCTGCCTTCAGGGCTTAGGGGATAGTGAGGATGGTACGTGGAGAAAGAAAGAGACCAGCCCCAGCCAAGGTTAACATGGAGGACTATAGCGCCAGCCATTTTATAGTAGACTAGACTATAGCTCAGGGGTCTATGTGATGCTGCTGGAGTGCTGTAGTTACCTTAGTGTCAGAGTTGGGTTCCTGGCAGATGGTTTACCATTGAAGGGCTCTGATTTGGATGTACCTGGCCTACTGTTCATGTTATATGTAATCTGAGTAAAAAATTAAAAGAAGAAGTCACAGTATAGAACGGTAGTATTTCTCATGTTTTTGGTAAACTAGAGTGACACAATCTCATATGAGCCGAAAAGTTAGCGTGTCATAATGTCTATGATACTGCTGTAAGATACTCCTAGATTTTGTCGGAAATCATTGAGTCAGTGTGGCGTTAATTCTCTCCTCTCCTCTCTTGTCTGTTGTAGATGAGCAGGTGTCAGCGGTGTAGAGCTGGCTGGACGCCTGGACGGACACTGCAGGCCGTTGGAGAGGGAGGGGTGATCTGAGCTACCACAGCCTCCTTGCTGCCTCTCCTCTGGGCACACTCCTCTCACCCCTTGCCCCTCTCTAGGCTCTCCCAGTCTCAGCTGACAGCTGTTCAATGCTAAACCAACGGCACCCCACAGAACTTGTACAATCATCTATTTTACTCCATTTTTCAATGGTTTTAGAAACTCCCCCATTTTTAGACTCCCACGCCCCTGGAACATAACTGTATACAGACTGAGATGTGGTGTGATGTCACGGCATATGGCTCAGGCGTTTGGGACGCTGTGCTGAGGAGGAAGAAGGGATGAACGGCGCCCGCTGATCCCTCAATGTCTTTTTAACAGTACCTCCATTTGCTTTCGCGCTCTCTTGTCCCAAGTGTTTTAAATAGTTTTTCCCTCAGTCGTTGCGTTTAAAAAAAAAAAAAAGCAGTTTGCATGAAGCTCTCAGCTTTAAATGGCATGCAAACACAAGTTATATGACAATATCCAGGAAGGGAGAAAATCGAAACAATTTCTTTTTCTTCTCGTTTGTTGATGAAGCGGAGATCTTGCAGGCTGCAGAAAATGTATCTTAAGAGTCTAGAGTGACTCCACATATATTTGTATTTGCAGGGGAGTGAGTGAGTCCGTGAGTGAGTGTGCGCATCTCAGACCATTGTGTCTGAGGCACCCTCATCCATTGACGCTCTGTCTCGTTAACTTGTCGCTTGTGAACCCACAGTAACATGAGGTACTTTTAGTGTCATGCTGCCACTTCTATGTTTAATAAATGGTTTTATACCTTGTTTTTAATGAGTTAACGAACAAAAAGGCTCACTGCTGTAGAATAGCACAACATGTTGTTACTTTATTGCAGTACAGTAAAACAATATATTAGCACTGTACAAACATTAGTTGGTAAGCGTTAAATGCTAGGCATGCAGCCAACAGCCCAAGTTGTTTACAAAGATGCTTACAAACTTGTTTACAGTGTTTGTTAGACTAACAGTTGTCTATTAAATTACAGGCTAAAATGTAAAAATATGATCATTTCAGGTTAATTTGATATGTAAAGTCTTTTTGTATGCAGTAAGAATGTGCGGATGCAGCGTAAATAACACATTTGGTGTGTTTTGTTTTGATGTACCTCTTCCATTTTGGCTATTAAGTGTGTGATTTATCCCATAATTGTTTAATAGTCAGGGCAACAAAAGAAAAAGCAATGCTTGTCAAGGGAAAATGTATTTAAATGCCAGGTTTGCAATGCATCTCCATTCCTTGTTCATAATATATCTACACTTTGAAAAAGAGTACATTTTGTAGAGTATTTTAAAGAATTTGCTTTAATTGTTTCTTCTTATTGCAAGCAAAGGTTAATTATTTGTACAGTCTAACAGGTTTTACCCTCTAGGGTTGAGGGTGAAACTGCAGAATGGTATTGTAATTAGGGATATAACTGGAGTTTGGATCCTTTTCTTTGGCGTGACGCTTGTTTCAATTTTTTTGCCGTACAAAGACTTGAAAATATTAATGGTAATATATACAGTGCGTATATAAATGTATACATATATTTTTGGTTTGTCATAAATGAATGTTAGATGTATAGATGAAAAGAGACTATTTTTAATATTTTGTTATAATAAAATCCAAGATTGTGATTGCCCCTTTTCTGTCATTGGGCAGGAATCTTTTAAGGATTTTTCTTTTTCTCTCTCTTTGTTTTGGTGCCGTCTCTGCTCTGTATATATCTATTTGCTGCTGTGTTTTTGATTTGACTCCTCCTGATACGTTGTTGTATAGATGTTATTGTATGGATGGACTCTGCCGCCCTCACCAGGTTCATTACAATCACTCCCTCCTTGCCTCACACACCTCGTCTGCATCCCAAATGGCACCCTATTCCATATATAGTGCACTACTTTTGACCAGAGCCTAGGGCTCTGGTCAAAAGTAGTATACTATGTCGGGAATATGGTGCCATTTGAGATGCAGCTCTCCTGACTGAGGGCTTCTGGGTAATTTTGGACAGGCACGTTCCCTATGGTGCACAGATGGACCCAGGTCCATCACTGGCTGTGGCCTAGTGCCTCCTGCGCTGAAAGAGTTCCCCTGAACATGTCCTCAGCCCCTGCCACCTACCCCTCACTAGCCCACACACTGTGAGCAGGGTCACTTTCTGGAGGGGACAACATTCTGTTTCTCAGATAGAAATGTCATGTGCATAGCTGACATTATGTACATGATAGAGAAGCAGGTCTGTTCTACATAATATATTTCTATCTGGAGGTTCTGTAATGTTGTATCCCACTGAGCGCAACCAGGAGCAGAGCTTTTATCAGTGTCTGCTGCTTTCACACAACCTCTCTTTCTCAGCACTGAGATCCCTGCCCATTATCTACAGGGCTGGAGGGTTCTATCATAGAATTAGAATGATATTGAATGATTCTGTTTCTATGGGTTCTATATCACTCACCTTTGCACATTCCTCCTCAGAATCCTATATACAATACATTACCTAGTATCACTGTCCACCATCACCTTTGAAGAGAAAGCAGAAATATAGATATACATGTACACTGAGAATACCAAACATTAGGAACACCTTCCTAATATTGACCCTTTGCCCTCAGAACAGCCTCAATACATCGGGGCATGGACTCTACAAGGTGTCGAAAGCGTTCCACAGGGATGCTGGCCCATGTTGACTCCAATGCTTCCCACAGTTGTGTCAAGTTGGCTGGATGTCCTTTGGGTGGTGGACCATTCTTGATACACACAGGAAACGGTTGAGCGTGAAAAACCCAGCTGCGTTGCAGTTCTTGACACAAACCTGTGCGCCTGGCACCTACTACCATACCCCGTTCAAAGGCACTTAAATATTTTGTCTTGCCAATTCAACCTCTGAATGGCACACATACACAATCCATGTCTCAAGGCTTAAAAATCCTTTAACCTGTCTCCCCCCCCCCCCCCCCCCCCCCCCCCCCCCCCCCCCCCCCCATCTACACTGAATGAAGTGGATTTAACAAGTGACATCAATAAGGGATCATAGCATTCACCTGGTCAGTCTGTCATGGAAAGAGGTGTTCTTAATGTTTTGTATACTCAGTGTATATTGAAATATTCTCTCGTCTTTTGAATAAGTTGCCTTATTTAACTATACAGCTGTAGAACTGTGTAAATGTCAAGACATTTGCTTTACCGTAGACTGTTGTTCTGACTTGTGTTTTCCGCTGACAGTGTGGCTTGCCTCTGCATGGCCGGGCTCACTGTGCTCCTCTCTGCCATTCAGGTCAGCTGGTCATATTGATCAGGTAACAGTTTATTGATTGATGCCAAACCCACCTCTGTTTACCCACTACTAGACTGAGAAATAGCATGCCATGCACATTGGAAAAAACTAAAACACCCCCTGAAGTCAATTAGAACAGTTTTGCTTGAAACAGCGCCTTCTCAATCATTACATTCAGTTTCCCTGTGTGTGGATTCGATTGGCTGATCACCTTCACCAATGCCGACAGTACTCTCTAAAATTTTCCCCAAATCAAAGGACTTTACATCGAAATTATATTTTCCCTGCATTCAGTTGAATCCACTCCAATGGTATTATAATTCAACCTGTACCATAATCATAACAGTTTGGGGGCTAAAGCCAATCCCACTCTAGACAGATCTGTAATGGAACACACAGATAGAAGCGATTATGTCATGTTAGTAGGAATTCAACCAAAAGCTACTTCCTGTAAGGTTGCCCCTGACAACACTGTGGCTTTCTCCATAGGCATTATTGAATAAATGGCTCGCTAACCGCTGGCTTCGGTTCTGTCATATTACCTGGAATGCAATAAGTGAGATGTGAAATTATGTTATGTAACTCAAAACATATAGGCATTTAGCAGAACTGCACAATTGTAAGCTTGACTGTAGCAATTGTACTGCACAGTGTCGGTTACAAAGATATTATTTGGTCTGTGGCTTACTTTGGTTTACACTTTTCATAGCTGTTGTAACTTATGTCTTTTAGAAAGACAATTATTTGCTTGTATGCTTTTTTTGTATTTTTACCAGTGATTGTAAATACTTGTTATATTTTTGTTTAAGAGAATGTTTAAAAAGCTAAAGTAAATTTTATTTCTCCAAGTCTACTGATATGAATTTGGACAATAATAAACTGTTAAACGTTGTTCTTTTGTCTGTTTGCACCTGCAGTGTATAGCTAATTAAGTGTATCGAAATAACTTTTCTCTCATTATGTGAGCAACTCACTAACACCCTTCAGCCTCATATTCAATCATTTGTGCTTTGAACATGACTCCTAATCAATGCATTTTCTCTGTTCAATCAGAGATGTCATTTTGATGCTTCGTATTACAGTATACCTCTAACCTACAAGAGTTGCTGAATTTCCTCTTCATTTTGCTCCACAATTCATGCACACTGGTGTGGAGAGCGAAGTAGTAGCAGTGCTCCCTTCCCTTTGAAAATGTTGAAAATGACAGTACAGTAGGTGTGCAAAACCCACATTTCACCCCAGGAATCAGTACAAAAGGTCTTTGTAGCACTTTC